TGCAGCCTGGCCTGACAGCTGACCTTGTTGCTGCTGACAGATCTGTCTGCTGTGGCATTATGGCAGCATGGTGTGTGAAAGGAGCACTGGGCACTGCTTCCAGGGAGATAGCATTATCATCCACTCCAGGAGCTGTGATCTGAAGATTCATCTCCTCTGCCCTAACAGTCTGAAACATTACACTTACAGCCCCATATCGTCACCACAATGACATACATCCCTTAATTCCCATATTAAATCAGATGTCCACTCACAAAGAAGCGCTTCCCTTTTATTTAACCCGAGAACAACTGAGCATCAGTCTTATGTCAAAAGTTATTGGTCATAGAGTTTTTCAGCACAGATTTCCATTTGAGCCTTTTATTTGTACAGCTCAGCGTTTCTTGGAATCGGAAATATTCCCAGAATTCTGCGTGATCTTTACGTTTGAGCTCCTGTCAGTGGGATTGGGACTGAAGTGACGTCATAATCCCCTTTCTTTTAATTTTGCTGCTTCTTAGTCTTTAATTAAAAAAAGATTTTAATGTAATTATGCAGGCAGTACATTTCTTTGTCACCCATATAAACATCTTTTCAGATGCAAAAGCAAGCAGCCTTTAATATAGATAGACATATAGATAGATAGATAGATAGATAGATAGATACCCACAAACACACACACACACACACACACACACACATATATATCTTTATGAAGAGTGCAATAATGCACTGTATAACCATAAGATGTTATTGGCATTGTATCATTGGGGCACAGAGAGCAATAACATTACAATGGCATTCCCTGTGTATTTAAAACGATACATAAAAAATACATACCAGCTAAAATAAGATTAAAAGAACAGCAGTCTAATTAATATATAGATCCTCAGGGTGATCACCATAAAGTATACTGAGCATGTATATTTCACAAAATATTGCACATAAGTGAGGTTAGTTTCTATTTCTCCATTATTATATTCAAAAACAGTTTTATTAATGATGTATGTGGATATGTCCGGTCATTCGGTTTTTGCTTGGTATTGAAATGCAGATTTTGTAGCCCAAATCTCATGCCAGGTGTCTAGTGTAGAACTAAGGTGACATGTACAATGCATCCAACATGCCTGGGCCTGCCCCACTACGTCCACCTGACACTTTTGCTGAGCACCATCCTCTACCTGTTTTAAAGTGGAGGCCAGAAAGAAGATCAAGTTCCACTAAAGTGATTTGTCCAGTGGATACTGTAATTTTTTCTGAAGCCAGACAAGTTTGGGCCTGACCGTGGTATGTTTGCCTTTGTCAATGAGCAACAGCCTTTGTTATTGTGTAAGGAGAACAGAATCAGTCAACTAAAAATGCTATAATGCTCAAAAGAAGGGACTCAAAACCCTTTTTGCAGGGGGTAGTTATGTAGATGGCATGAGTGGAAAGTGGACAATAGCGGTTTATTAACTACAGCTCTGGAAAAAGTTAGAAGATATTCCAGCCTGGCTCTTCCCTGTTTCTCAGTGATGAAAGGCTTCTTCCTTGCTCTATGAGTCTTCAGTCCTGCTGATGAATTGTCCTAGCAGTGACTTCACATCACTTAATGTTTCCCATTCATCTTGAAGGTCACTTGAGGTCATCCTCCAATTTATGAGGCACTGCCAGATAAGTTGACGGTCATCTCTGGCATTAGAAAGCTGCTTCAGCCCTTTACTTCACTAGTTTCTGGTCATTCCCAGATACACAAAGTTCTTGTGTACTGCTGTCTTAGAAACACTGAGCCTGGAAGCAGCCTGCCTCGCAGTGTAGCTTCTATCAGCAGAACCAGGAATAAACCAGGACTTATAAATGCATATTTTCAAAAAAATATATAGAGATATATAGAGAGTGATCTCTTAATTTATTCCAGAGCTGTATATACAGTGAGGGAAATAATTATTTGACTCTCTGCTGAATTCTTAAGTTGACCCATTAGTAAATAAATGAGAAGTCTATAATTTCTTTGGTAGGTTTATTTTAACAACAAATGATAGATTATCAACAAAAAAAGCAAGAAGATATCATCATGTAACAGTTACAAACCAATTTGTCATTCATTTCAAGAAAGACGTATTTAATCCCTTGGAACACATGCTTTAGTACTTGGTGGAATAACCATTGTTTGGAAGCACAGCTGTCAGAAGTTTCTTGTAGTTGGTTACCAGGATTGCATGCAGATCGTCAGGAATTTTCATCCACTCCTCTTTGCAGACGAAGCTTGAGTTCCCTCCATAGGTTTTCTATGGGATTAAGGTCTGGAGACTGGCTAGGGCACTCCATGACCTTAATGTGCTTCTTCTTGAATCACTCCTTTGTGGCCTTAGCCGTATGCCTAGAGTCGTTGTCTCGCTGGAAGACCCACCTGTTGAAGGGGTAGCTGAAGGAAGGAGGTTCTCATCCAAGATTTTACAGTACATTGCCTCGTCCATCTTTCCTTCAATGCGGTGCAGCCTTCCTGTATCCTTGGCAGAAAAACACCCCCAAAGCATAATGCTTCCACCTCCGTGTTTGACAGTAGGGATGGTGTTCCTGGGGTTACAGTCAGCAGTCTTTTCCCTCCAAACACGGCGAGTAGAGTTGATGCCAAACAGCTGGATTTTGGTCTTATCTGACCACATCACATTCTTTCAAGCCTCATTGGAATTATTCAGGTGTTCATTGGCATACATCAGACAGGCCTGAACATGGGCCCTCTTGAACAGGGGTACTTAACGAGCACTACAGGATTTAAAATCATAACGGCATAATGTGTTACTGATGTTTTCTTGTTGACTGTGGTCCCTACTTCTTTGAGATCTTTAACAAGCCCCTCCTGTGTAGTTCTGGGGTTAGCCCTCACCATTCTTAAGATCATTGATGCCACATGAGATGAGATCTTCCTTGGGACCCCAGACCAAGGGTAATTTTCTTCCATTTGTGAATAATTGCAACAACAGTTGTCACTTTCTCACCAAGCTGCCTGCTGATGGTCATGTAGTCCATTCCGTATTTGTGAAGGTCAACAATCTTGTCTCTGATGTCCTTAGACAGCTCTTTGTTATTTCCTATGGTGATAAGGTTGAAGACAGGTTAGTGACCCAAGAATACTGTTTAACGAAGTAATGCCATTATGACAATGCTGGTTTGGTATCTGTTAATACTTAATTGAGTACTACTTGTGTTGTGTTAGTGCATATGTACTTGACATAATTTCTTGCTGGCTTGTAGGGGATCAAATAATTATTTCCCTAGATAAATAACAAATTGATTTGTACCTGCTACATAATGATTTTTCTTGTCTGTTTTGTTGAAAATCTGTCTTCTGGTGTTAAAATAAACCTACCAGTGAAATTACAGACTTCTTATTTTTTTATATAAATGGGTCTAGTTAGTAATTCAACAGGGGGTCAAATAATTATTTCCCTCACTGTATAAAACTACATGCCTACTCATGTCTCTAATCTAGATTCAAGATTCAAAGAGTTTATTGTCATATGTACAGTAGAAACTGCATTTCTCTGTGCAATTAAATTCTTTCTTTGCTGTCCACACAAAATGAGGATACACTATAATAGAAAAAAATAGTAAAAAAATACTTTGAAGTGTAATGTGCAAAAGAGCTTAATGTGCAAAAAATTACAGTATGAGGTAGTATGGTATGGTAGTATGGTAGTATGGTGTCCACTAATCATACTCCTGTCAGCTGTTAAGGAGTTTGATGGCAGTGGGGAAGAAGGAGCTGGTAAGTCGGGAGGTTCTAGATTTCACACTTCTGTACCTCCGTCCTGTTGGGGGGTGTGTGTGGTCTTTGAGGATGGAGGCAGCTCTCCTCTGGACTCTGCGGTGGTAGATGCTCTGCAAAGAGGGCAGCGGAGTCCTGATGATCTTCTCCGCAGTCTTCACCACTCTCTGCAGGCGTTTGCAGTCCATAGCTGTAGCTCTGCCGTACCATGCGGTGATGCAGCTGGTCAATGTGCTCTCCACAATGCAGCTGTAGAAGCTGCTGACATATTATGTGACATATTACATATCTATACATATCTAGTGACATATTATGCTGAGATACACTCATTTAAAATATACCAATTTTCCAATATTTGGTCTACAATGGTGCCAAGAGGGTCTAAATGCAAATGGAACATAAAAAATATTTCAGCTTACCAGTGATAGACCTTGAGTACTGTTTTCTCTATAGACACATTGTGAGCATGCCTTTATGCAGGCTCTGGTATGGGTACTGCAACTACAGTCTATTAGTGCAGGATTTCAAAATTCAAGGTAAGTGTTAAGCTGGGACAGAAGACCTCTTTTGATGGCTCCCAGTGATTGGAGGACATGTGAAGAACGCTAGAAGTGTTGATGTATACATGGAAGTCATTGTTGGTTACTATTTTTGAAGAAACATTGCAGTGTTTTTCTAGCACATGAATGACAGGTCAAATAATAAGGGAGAATAGGGATGGATGTCACACATTTTTACTCTCTACCCAAAGTGTTTGTGCCCTGTGATGGACTGGCATCCCATCCGAGATGCAGCCCTAGCTTGTGCCCTCTGCTGCCTAGAATGTCCTGTAGCAATGCTTGGAAGATGGATGGAATGTGAACTATTCAAATGTTTTATGCTTAAAAATAAAGATCCTACCACCCGAGTTGGCTAACAATTGTTTCTCCTGAAAACATCAGGTTAAAATCCTCTAATAATTTTTTTTTTCTTAAAAGTTCTAGGAATACACAAACTAGTGCTGTACTTCAAAGAAAATGTTTCACATGCCAGACATTTTTGAATATCAAACCATCACTGCATTCACCTCCTGATGCCTATAAAAATGACAGAATGAATATTTTGCCTATAAATTTATGCTGCTGAAAACTGGATGTATTGACTTTTTAATGCCTTCCTTTGGGTGCTCACTTCATCTACATAATCTAGTTAACCTTGGTCCATGCACAAGAAAACCCAGTATTGCTATGGAACACGACACCATAAGACATTTTTAAAAATTCACTATATTTATTGCATGGAGTGCTTAGGAATACAAATAATATAAAATCACAACTGCACAGACTTCATAGTCCTTTGGAGGACCCACGAGTTCTAGTAATAAACTTCTGTCATTGTCTCTTCATGTTTTTCCATTTACACAATCAGTTTATGTCACCTTAAAAAAGAAACAATCCTAATGTATAATCAAAAAAAAAAAAAAAGAAGAAATTACCTCGGCATGTTGAAGCCATAATTGTGAAGAAAAAAAAACATTTTCATTAAATGTCTTCTCATGAAATTCAAATATCATTCAATATTTTTTAAACTTCATCATAAAAATGGAAGCATTACAATGATAGCTGAGCAGCGGAGCCACGCACTGGCACCTTGGCGCGAATCATTTTAAAATCTACAATAGGTACGTATACTTACAGACAATAATCATACAAAGCTATATGTAGCTACCATAGTTTCTTTTAAACAGCAGGACTAGCAAACAGCAATAATGATTTCCAGTGCATTAACGTAATCCTTCAGCAGTATTCTCAAAAATGTGTTGGATACAAATCAGTAACTCAATTTTTGTTTTAATCAAATAACAATAAAGTGGTAGGTTACATGTAACTTAGTTTCTATACGATAAAGGAGGACCAAAGTCTCTAATGAACATTTTAATTTATTGGGATTATATCACAAAAACATCAGGAGCAATAGTTCTTCGTGTGTGACCTCAGCAGGATACTGTACTTGTCAATCAAATTTCAAATGAATCAAGAATCAAGGTTATGCTTTTTACGTCTCATCAATTGTGTTTCGCTATAGCAAGTCTGAGAATGAGCAAAAACAGACAATCAATTGTAAACTTCATTACAAATTTCAAATACCCTTAAAGAATTTTCAAATCACCTGCATTGATGTGAACAGTTGTTGGATTTAATTCAAGTATAATAATGTGGCATTTCAAGCATTTGTGCAATGTTAACTGTGTAAAACTGCATTATACTGTGTTGCAATAATCTCTATTGGTCTTTAACATGTCTCTGTGAAACAATAAAGGAGAATGAATATGCAACAGAAGTAGATTTTTCTCTACCCTTCCATGAACTGTAGTCTGTCAAAGTGCGTGTGCATGGAAATCTGGAAGTTATTTTTTTGTGCTTCTTCATATGCTCCCTTTTAAAATTTGCAATATAATCTGGATCAGTAATTTATAAATGTCTCTAAACTATAGGTCATACATAGCTGACACATTTGAAAACAATGATGCTTCAAGGTGATGCCAAAAGCCCGACACAAGAATTAAGAATCAACTGCAAATTAATAAAGTTTCTGTTTGAAAAGCAACAAAGGACAAAACATACATCAAGAAGACAGATTGTTCATCTGTGTTTATGATGCTAATATAGCAAAACTGAAGTGTCTATTTAGGTCCAGCAGATCAGGTGGACATTTGAGGAGGGACTGGCACGGGGACGGGTGTCACAGATATGACTCTGGCCTTTCCCAAGGCTGCATCTCGTTCATGAAGCCCTCACAGAAGGGGAAGCTGTGCTCCAGTGGAAGTGGGATGACCTGCGCCTCCTCCTTGAACTCCTCCCATGGGTGTCGTGGAGGCTCCACAAACATCTCCTCGAAGTGCTGTGCCGGCACGGGGGCCCGCTGCAGGGCCTCGTACGGCAGGACACCCATGGCACTACCCCCCTCCAAGTAACCGCAAGGCTGCTCGAACCCGCCGCCGTACCACTTGCCGGCAGCAGCCATATTCCGGCCCTGCGTGGAGAGGTCCGGCTCACACCCCAGAGAGCTGAGTGCTGCGTTGATGTCCAGGTCCTCGAAGTTACTGCTGCTGCCGCTGAATACATCATCAAACACAGAGCACCAGTCAAAATCCCCCTTAAGCACCTCTGTCTCCTTCACCTCAGGGGCAAACGCCTCTTCTTTGGGCCTCCTTGTCACTTTACAGCTTCGCTTAGGGGAGGACTGCTTGCGTTTGTTGCCTAGTCCTGCCCCTCTCTGGAATCCTCCGTTAGTCTGAAACTGCCCAAAGTCAAGCTGGTAGCCATTCTGATACCCCAGGCCCATCGGACAGTAAGAAGCCTCTGAACCAGATAACGTCTTGCTCTGCCTCAGGGAGCTGAATTGATTAGAAGGCATCCGCCGGCGTTTGAAAACGCCGTTGACGAACATGTCGGCGTACTGCGGATCGATCTGCCAGAAGCCCCCCTTTCCAGGCTCATCCTTCTGCCTGGGCACCTTCATAAAGCACTTGTTGAGTGACAGGTTATGGCGGATCGAATTCTGTGGAAAAAATGGGAAGAAGTCAGGAAAAATTTACCAAATCACTAAAAAAGCAACAATCAGTGGTAAATAACAACTGATTTATTTTCCCTCCACATATTCCAAATATATCTAAGACCTTTTTCATCAATAGAAATACAAAAGATGCACCACATCATCAGCTCTTCCCTCCCCTGTGAGTAAGGCTGTTCTAGCTTTCCCCCAGGGGCTGTCTATATGTGTATATTTGCGGTTTCTGTTTAAATAAACAACAAATATAGGCTATAGGCCTACCAGAAAAGATGAGAATGGCTTTGTGTTACCCAGTGACTAGATGTATAAAGCACACTGCCATATCTGCCTGCACTTGCACGCAAATAATGGCCCTTCTTATTACACAGATTCATCAGGCTCCGTGTGGTCTATCACTGACATCCAGATTACCCCTGTCATTTGCATATGTTTTATGATTTCACTGTTGCCTCGCGGCACGCCGCCAAACACGGTAATTTAGCGCACTTGTTTTTTTGCGCGAAAACTCTTAATGCCAATCAAAATGTAAAAAAAAAAATCTTCACACACATATTTCATGCTAAATCAAAAACACGGAACTAGTCATTCAGCCCTAAAAGTGATATTCAGTTCCATTCCACTCAAAGATATCATTCGGCTTATTGTGTGATTCTGCATTTACGTCAATTTACTCAGTGACTAGACGGCAAACCCTTATCAGCAGCGTACATGGAGCACAGTCCCAAAAAGATAACAGTTTGCAGCACCCATGCTGTGTCATTACATATTGTATAGGTGAGGAGGCTTTTAACTGATCGTTAAAAGGAAGTAAGAAGCAAATGGGGAAAACACACCAAAGCATAAAACATGCCACGATTTCCAGTATGAAAGCTGTGTGGATTTCAAACATTAAACATCCAGATTTGCTTAGAGAAACAAAGACTCCCTAGGACAGGAGGCAGGGTAGAGCCAGAAAATATTACTGTAGCCTATAATCCACAGTTCAAGCATGCATCACATTCACTTTAAGATAAACTACTGTAATGCAAAGCATTTTACAGTATTATTCTTAATGTTTCGCCGTCAAAAGCAAAAGGTTTCTTCTTTCACGCACACAGAATACTTTTATTACTTAAAAAAAACAAAACAAAAAAACGTGTCCCCGTCTTGTTAATTGGCTACTACTCCTTTAGTATAGCCTGAATACAATAAAGGAGGTAAAACCCCAGGACCATTTTGGGCCGTACGAGCGACTAGCCCCTTTGTGTGCACCTGTCACACGCACCCTTCTGCTGCCAGGAACAGCTCATGCATTTTTTACCCTGCGGGTAGGGTGTTCGCACCATTTGCGGGGAATCGGTCCATTATTAGTGGCATCCGCTCCTGTGAATCTATATCGAATGCTGATATTATACCAACCAGTGCTTTTTCTTCACAGGTATTGCGATATAAACTCGAAAAAGCAACTGTCAAAACATCAAGTCGAAAGCGACTCTTTAAACATAGTTATTTAAATTATTAGTTTGCTATTCGTCTGTTGGGCTACATACGTCAAACACGTTTAATATAATTGCATTCAATATATATAGTTTTGTGTTTATATACTTTTTTTTATAACCTTCACCCCCACTTACCTTGTCCCTCGTTAATAATAAATTAAACAGAGTCCCTTACCTGCCAGCTGGGATCTGCGTGTCTGTAGTAGCAGAAGTTTTCTGTGATCCAGTTATATATGGCAGAGAGAGTGATTTTAGTTTTCTTGCTAGCTTGCATGGCCATGCAAATAAGCGTGGCATAAGAATACGGAGGTTTTACTTGGTGGTTGATCTTATAGTCTATTTCCTCATGGGGGTTGCTGGGTGTTGAGACTTGTTGATTGTGGGTTATGGGTTGATGCAGATAACTGGTGCTAGTAACGATGGCTGAAACGCTGCTGGAGGTGACAGGCTTTCCCAGACTCTGGGGCATCCCCGTAGCAGCCGTATCTCCTGCGGTTGGACTCGCCGGCGAGCTGCTACCCCGTGGACACACGTGTTTGTGATGCGCGACGTTTTGCGGGAGATCACCGGAGCTGTGGGGTATTTCCAGGCAGGCGCTCAGGATCGAAAAATCCTGAAGCCACTGGAGGCTGGTAAGACTGTCGTCAAGATGAACCGAGCCGCTGACATTGTCCACATCCTCCGGATGGAGCATCATCCATTTCTCCTTAAACTTGTTGGCAATCTCTGGACTCGTGAGCACGGGCATTGCGAGCAAATTACCGGCAATCTTGAAATAAGAGGTCTTGTTGTTTGACGCGCAGATAGTAACCTGAGAGATAAAGAACAGTCAATTTCTGAATATCACAATATTGTCAGTCTTCCTCGTCGCTGAAACGATATGCAATAAAATATATATGTATTTGTGTTAATAATAATGCACAGTAGTTTGTCGAACATTTCACATGCAATTCATTTAATATATTTCTTCATTTACATTAAACGATAATTTCGTAAATTACTTTATAATCTACCGGATTTCGAAATAAAAACAAGAATAAAGTGTAAATGAAATGTCCCTCTAGAAAATAAGCGAACCTCTCGCAGTGACAATCCCGAGTTACAGTACATCCCTCTTTAGCTGATAGATGATGAGACGATCGCTAGATGTAGGCTACCTGTAGCAATACTGCAATCCTCGGATGTTACCTAGCTTTCACAAACGTCTCTGCGGTGCAGTTGTCCAATGTGCAACAAGTGTATAGAGATGATCTTAAGCAAACCTGTTCAAATAGTCGGATTTCTTCTTTTCCTCTATATGAAATTACAAACGTCTGGGTCTTTAAATGCAAACACTCAAATGAGCAACTTTATATCCGTGTGCATCTAAAATAATATCACTGAAAACGATTTGTTATTTACTGGCAATAACATACGAGGCACGAACGTTTCCTTCCCCTCCTTGCGAATGCTAAGGACTCTAATAATCCTATAAGCACATCGCGTGTCGCTGATTGGTTAAATGGTATCCAAGTTTCAGCTTTCCATCCATTTTCACTGGCTCGAACGGAGCGTGCCTTGGAACCATTAGGGAGCGTCAACAACAAAAAGCGCAAAAGGAAAAACGAAAGTGCGTTTCTATAAATGCACCAGTTTCAGCAGTACAAGCAAGATAGCACTACCGAGCCTCAATTTATCGTCAGTTCAGTTTTGTGGAGAAAAAAAATGCTTTTTCTGAATTCAAAAATATTGAAAAATCACAAACCAAAACTAGGCTATTAAAAGTAAAATGGCAAATGACTGAAAACCAAACACCAGTAAGTGAACTGGTGGGCATATACAGCTATGGGAAAAATTAAGAGACTACTCTATATTTTTAAAAAAATCTCTCTTTAAAATCCTGGTTCTGCTGGCAGAAAGCTGCACTGTGAGGCAGGCTGCTTCCAGGCTCAAAGTTTCTACGACAGCAGCACACAAAAACAAGGTGAAGCAGGAGACACTGGGAACGACCAGAAACCAGGTAGAGGGCAGAAGCAACTTTCTAATGCCAGAGATGACCGTCAGCTTATCTGGTAGTGCTTCATAAATCAAAGGATGACCTCAAATGACCTTCAAAACGAATGGGAAACATTAAGTGGTGTGAAGTGCACTGCTAGGGCAAGTTTGTTACAGGCTCCTAGAAGCAGGACTGAAGACCCAAAAAGCAAGGAAGAAGCCCTTCGTGAATGAGACCCATAAATTGAGAAATGAGTGAAAAATTTGCTGTGATCTATTAATTTTTCAAGAGCTGTAGTTAATAAACTGCTTTTTACCACTTTCCAATAATGTCAAACTAATTTACTTCTTTTGAGTAATTAATTAATAGGTGCATGGTGTCTTACTTTATAGCTAGTCTAATAATACCTAGGCCTACTGCAAAAGTGATTTTTTTCTGTAAATCTGATTTTGTGGTTGAAAATTCCCGAGGCGGTATTAAACAATCTGGACTGCAAGAGTGACCACTGGTGTGATATTGTGCACCCTATTTATTTAAACTCCAACATTTGCCTTTAGACATATTGGCCTATACATGTAAGTATCTGATATATAAAATGAATCTTCCATTTGCATTATTTGTGAACTCATACAGTTTGCCTTAAATAGAAACTGTTTTTTTAGACTGTAAATTTCGGCTAGGCGATTAATGCCAGACCAGCTGCACTGGGAATTCGCGCCTCCAGACCTGCTTCACCCGGCAGGTTCTTGTCCACATACCACACCTACTGTGTGGCTTGTGCTAACTGAACACCAACCGAGAGGTGAATGACATCCAATACATATAAGCTAACACAAGGGTGTAACTTTGGTTTGAACATTGAAGGGGTTGAGATCTCCACCCATTTAGGGGGAGAACATGATTATTGGGGATGTTACAACCTCTCCACCCTCCCTGTAATTTATGCCCATCAGCTAACATTGGCTGGACTTTGTTGTCAGTTTTGCTTATATGTAAATATCTTCGTGTGCAATTGTTATTGTAAATAGTTGTACTGTGTCCCCGGTCTATGCAAGTGTATTTACCTGTGTGTGCTTCAGTCTGTGCCAGTTACTCGGTTACTCACGTGCTTTTGTGCCCTCTGTAAATAGTTACCACGTGTGCCTTATTGTCCGGCGTCAGACCTCCCTGTGTTGGCCTGTTATGTGTGTTGATGAGGTAATTGGTCTCTGTGTTAGTCCTTGTAAGGGCTATGATTAAAGAGCATGTTTTCTTTACGACCGTCTCATCTTTTACATTCCCACACCCGCGATGCTTCAGTCTGCTGGTAATTACATTGATGTCAGAAGCGGGATGCCAGAATTGACCTCACTGGCACTGCTGGGGCGGACACTCCTTGACATTGTTCAGCAAGCCCACTCCAGCCTGTCAGACCTGCAGGTAGCTGTAGAGTGGCGAATGGGGAGAGGTGGCAGTTTCATGTCCAGGCTGGCCCTGGACCACTGGCTTTGGGAGGAAAAACTTGTTTGCTGGAGCTGCAGCAAGAGGGGACACCAGGTAAGGTCTTTGCCTGGAAGTCTGCCTTAAAGCAACTAGCAGACGAGCTGGGAGCAGAGCAGTGACGGAGGTGCTGCCCAGTCCCTAAAACGCCCCAGAACCGTGCAGTGCATCTTCTAGCCGCCCTTGCCAGCTTGCTGGTGCCCTGTCTGAGAAGACGTCGGCTACCAAAGAAGGTGGTCACCACTGCGGACTCTGATCACTCACCGGCCATCGAGGGCTCCCTACTCGCCAGCTGTGACTGCAACCGACAGAGGCAGTGGGCAGAGGCTGCTCTGCCCGGACGTGAGGTGTGCCACTGGTGGAAGGCCCGCTGGCTCAGGAGCTAAACAAGCAGTGGGAGTGGAATCAGCAGGATTGGGAGCAGCGTTGTAAGTCCACAGAACAGGAGCAGCGCTGCCTGACTGTGCTGCTTAACTAGGAGGGAGCGTGCTCCATTCAGGAGGCCCAGCTGGCTAGGGAGCACTGCGAGCTTGACAACCAGTGCTGCCAGTTTCAGAAGGACCTAGAGCAGCTGCACAAAGACGCCCAATCCAGAGAGCAGGAGGGGCAGCAGGTTCCCACAAAGCCACGTGAGGTGAAGGGTTGGAGCCCAGGGAGACCTGCAATGCCAGCACCCATCAGTAGCTAAGTGTCTGCCAGCCACCTGGTCTCCTCAGCCACGCCAATGCTTGCAAGCGAACGGCTCCCCCCATCATCGGAAATATACCGGTGGCTATCACCGGACCTCTGGAACTTGTTTCAGAGCTGAGTCTGGACTGGGTGTGGTGGTTACAGGGACGGACAACCTTTGAGGAGGGGGCAGTGTAGCACCGGTGAGATGCATAATGGAGCCCATTAGGATTTTCCGGTAAGTGGCCCTGCATGTAATTGCTATTGTATATACACATCCTGTGTCCCCAGTTTATGTCAGTGTGTTTACCTGTGTGTGTCCCGATTCCATGCCCTCAGACCTCCCTGCCATTCAGGTGTCAGACCTTCCCATGTTTCCCCGGTATTCATGTCGATGAGGTGATTGGTGTCTGTCTTAGTCCTTCTAAGGGCTATAATTAAGGAGCATGTTCCCTATACAATCATCTCTTCTCTTATGTTCCTGCCTCAGCGATAGTAATTACAATAGTAATCTGTTTATAGGATTTGCTAATTTAAAATTTTCAACAAAAAATATTGTAGAGTTTAAATATTCTGGCTGAAAATTACTTAATTGTAGTAATACATAAAAAAACATCCAAATATTAAAAAAACATCATTCAGACATAAAGTCACAAAAATATAAAAATTTGCTAGCATTTGAATATGGCTACTAGGCAGATTGTGCACTTCTTGTTTCTTTATGCATAACATAACACTCACCAAAGTATGCTGATCTTGGCATTTTTATTACAGTAAGAGTCCAAAGATCGATATTGTTTTTAGGACTTTTAGGCTTAAAACGAGCTAAAATGCTCGAAAACAGAGAAAACTACCTCTATAAATATGGCATCTGTGACATCATCAGTTTTCGCCTGTGGATTTCAGCACCTACACTGTATATACACATGAGCTGTTCAACACATAGCTCTCAGCCTACTTAACAAAAGGAGCCGGGATATGGGCCTATTTGTTCGATCCATGCCGCATGGCAAGACTTTCCAGCCAACCAACTCATAACATGGGAACTATTGACCTCCCTTTTTAGGCACCTCTAGGCCACCCAATAACCTGTAGCCCCATGAAACAGGAACAAAACTTAGCAAACAAAGGCAGTATTGGCAGAAAGACCTACAATTAATCACAGGTGAGGCACTTTTTAACACTTTTATTTGCGGTTTTTAAGACCAGGTAAACTGAAGGTGTTGTGGGAAAAGGTGACCAAACGGAGCAGTTGATTCAGGCAAGTTTATCCGTATAAGTAAGTGTTTGAGCGTTTTAAGCATTTTATTTCGTTAAGGTCCTGTTGCATGTGCTACTTTTAAATAGGGGACTTCTTCTACCTATTACCCCTCCTGGGGCAGAGCCCACCAACAAGGGAGCATCTCCAAGAATAATACCTACCTTCCAGGCATCTCGGTCCTGGGCTTTCCGCTCCAGCTGACTCCAGGTGTATCCCATTCTTTGGGTGTCTGCTTCAAGGTCTCAGCGCCACATATTTCTTGCCCGTCCTCGGGTTCTCTTTCCTTGGGGATTCCAGGAGAGCACTTGCTTGGTGATATTTGAGGCTGGCTTGGGGAGTGTGCAGCTGATCCATCTCCAGAGCCATTCAGGAATCTCATCTTCTACAGGAAGCTGGTTGGTTCTCTGCCAAAGGTCCTGGTTACTCATGGTGTTTGGCCAATGGATCCAGAAGGTATTAACGAAGGTCTGCACTTTCCTCATTGTTTCCACTGTTGTCCTCCAGGTCTCTGCTCCACATAGAAGAAACGATTTGATATTGGAGTTCAACAGTCTGATTTTGTTTTTAGAGTCAGTTACTTAGAGTTCCAGATGTTCTTTAGTTGCCTATTTGTGACATTGGCGTCAGTTCCACCTATCTCAATAACACTGCCCAGGTAGATATAGGCTTCCACCTCTTCCAAATCCTCACCTTCCAACAAATAGGGGGCTAAGAAGTATTCATTCTTACAGTGACTTTCAAGAACTGGCCACAGAAATGAAAAAGAAACAAAAAATGACATGGAGCATTATCATTTGAAGTGAGTAAATAACAGAAAATGCTTTCTTACTTCCAGTTCTCTCACTGGGTGAAGGAAACTCAGATCTTACACACTGTATGTTTGCATTCATTCTTTGGGAATTGTTGGCATACTCAGCTTCTCAGCATAACTAAAATTCAAAGTATAACTAAAACTGAAAACTACTCCTTATTAACTAGTGCTACCTTGCTGAACTACAGCACTGTTTTGTACTGTGTTCCACCCCTCTCTTCCAACTTCATGCTATGGCAAACAGGATGCTGAAGCACAAGAATTATGTTGTATTCACCAAATACACAACAATAAAGCTGGAATGGAGAAATCAAGCAACCAACCCATCAATCAGCTAATCAGTTAATTAACTGAAGTTCTGCAGTTCTGGCATTGCAAACAATGAATGCACAACACTATTAAATCACTCTTTGAAAATTGGCTGGAGACTATTACAGTTGACATTTGTTCCAAATGGAGAACATGGAGCGTTTTAACATTTTAGGCACTACGACAAGCATTCTGGCATTTAAAATCTTTGAATTTGAGAGCTTCGCTTTTTTTCTGAGTTTTTTTTGAGAAAAAAATCTCTTCCTTACTATTATTTTTCAATTTCCTTTCAATGTAAGGTTAGGCCATTTCCTGGATAATGTAGCACTTCAGCTGCTCTCTGGATCTGTACTGCACTACATTAGAGGCACATTTTATGTTGGATTGCAGGCAAATTGGTTTCTTTATGAAGTGGAGGTGACAGAAAATCAGTAGACTGCTGAGTAAACAACGTCTGGGGCAGAATCAAGCTGGGGATCCACCTTCGCTTCGTGCCTAATGAAATCTTAGCTGTTAAAGCCTTTCTTCAAGACATACAGCTCAATTTAGATAAATAAAGCATATTTTATATAAACTTTGTACCAAATGAATTAAAAAATAAGCAATTGATGTTAAATATGTTTTGTGCAATACTTTGCCAGTCAAAGATGCAGCTTTGCTGTCTAAGGAAAGTACCAGCCTGATATATTCATATAGAGAGAAATTATATGTATGAAAGCAGTGGCCCAGTGGCCTTCCCTACAAGCTTCCTCAGTTATCTTTCCCCAAATTGCATAAGAAACACAAAGTCATGGGCCACTGCCGTCAAACTTGCTAAGCAGGGGGATTGGTCACATGGACCAATCATTTGACTCTCAGGGGATCCCTGTCTGATTTTTGGCTCAGAGAAAAGGAAACAAGGACAAGCTGATGATGACATAATGTATAGATGGATGTGTACTTTTATATACTTAATTTGGTTTTTATATAGGCATGTGCATTGGATTTCATATTCTTAGAGAAGAGCGGCTTAACTTGACATCACTGGGAGCCTCTCCCCCCACCCCCACAGCACGCCACTTGGGCTGAAATAGAAATGAGAGAGAATTAAAAATTATGCAACACCAATAATCCACTAATCAGCGTGCAGGGTGCTGCCGGGACAGCATTTCCAGGGGAATGGTGGGTGCGGATAGAAAAGTTTGCGTAGTGTGTCCCCTTGTGTGCTACAGTCACACCAGTAACAGTATGGAATATCTAGGATATAATGAGAATCCCTGCAAACATTAGCAAATGTGGCTTTTTGGAAAAACACTAATCAGCTACAGGATTCACAAGTTGGTTTCATTTTAAAAAGGGGACCAACATTTATGCTCACTGACTAAAACAAATGCTGGATGATTCACTGCCATCTAGAGGTTGTTTTTGCGACAGCAAACAGGCTTACTTTCCTGTAATTAAAGCAGGAGCATCTGGCAAACGCTTTCCTGTGAGACTATACTGTGGGCCCATACTCCAGAAGTGCCAGGAAATACGTATGACACGAATAAACAAGGTTTTGTGTCAGTATGGATTTAAAACACTGCCTCCCAGAAATTGAGTAGAACACTTGCAATCTTCAAAGGCAAGGGTTTGTCTGGGGGGCAATATGGCGGCAGAGTGGTTAGCCCCACACCTCTGGGACTAAGGTTTGAGTCTCTGCTGGAATTCTTCTGGGTACTCAATTCCTATTGGCTGTTTTTCAGGGGTTGGGTTAGACCCCTTAGTTCCAGTGAAGGGAACTCTTAAGACATTTTGGACAGTTCTATGCCTCCAACTTTGTGAGAACAGTTTGGAGAAGGCCCTTTTCTGTTCCAGCAGGACCACGCTCCAGTGCACAAAGCAAGGTCCATACATAGATGGTTGGGTGACCTCAACCACATCAAACACCTTTTGGATTAACTAGGACGGAGATGGAGAGCCAGGCCTTCACATCCAACATCAGTGCCTGACCTCTGAAATGTGCTTCTGGATGAATCAGCAAAGATTTCTGAAGATACACTCCAAAATCTTGTGGAAAGCCTTCCTAGAAGATTTGCAGCTAATGTGATGTCATAAACATTGCTGTAGGTGTAATGGCCAGATGTCTCAACACATTTGTCAATATACTGTACATTCTTATGCGTAGCCATGTTTTGAGAGGAGACCTGAGCAACACAGAACATGTAAACTCTACGCACACAGAGCCGAAAAAGAATTCAAACCCCAGCTTTGAAGATGTGACGTGACGGCGCCCCCCTGAGCCACTGTGCCACCCTCCAGCAAGAACTTTGTAATATAAATTGTAAATGTATTAATTTGTCAAATAATGGATACTGATCCATAGAAAGCTTTAAAAAAATTTGAGCATATCAGATTAACACATACCAACATTAATACTAATATTAATATAGCATTAGAGACTTGAAACAAGATTGTTAAAATCTACTGCTAATGCAAAATAGTGGAGGTGGGCTCCTTTGAACATTTTATCATAATTTTAAATGCAGAAGCCATTAAGTTCAATGTAGTCATATTATCCAGATCCCTGTTAAATTGAGATGCCACGCATTTCAATTAACTCTGCCTTCATTGCAGCTTAACGTCCAGTGAAAGCCAACACTTCAAAGACTAGATACTGCATATCCTTTTTAAAAATTGTTTAATAGTTTTAACAGAGAGTAAATTTCCATGCAAAATAAGCAAGAAAATAGGGCCCTTGCTCTCAGCTGTCATCTTGCAGATATAAAATAATGGAAGCTGCTTACTGACTTGTTTCCTACTTGGCAGAAAATATTTTCATTATATATTACTCCAAAAAGTGCAATCCTGCACATCTCAAGACATTTAAAAAGGAATCCCGACTTGATTAAAGAACTGCTTGCCTGTCTCCAACCTCTAATACGTGTTAAACTCAAGTTACTTCATTGCTCTACCAGTATAAATTGCTGCCAAAATACAAACTGCAAAAATTAATACAGGTAAATGGGCAGTGAATGACTTTAGATGCTATAATATGTACTGGATGACATGCATATAATCAACAGTAAATATTGTGCAGTAAAAAAATTAATGAATTTACTGGGGGACAGAGGTAACTTTTTGTTTATTAAAATAAAATAGTTTATTAAAATAAAATAGTTTTTGGTTAACCCTCATTTAACACACCTGATTCAGCTCCTTGTGCTAATTACCACACAGCTCTTGAGCCAAATCATTTGTGGTGGAACAGGGAAAGAACTAAGCTACACAGGGCTCCGACCCCCCAGGACTGCAGTTTGAGACCCCTGCCCTACAGTGAATCATAATAAACAAGCATTGCTCACTAAAATGACTCTCTGGGACAAATAAGGCACCTTCTTCCTAGACCAGGGATTAGCAATCTTATCCGCAAAGGGCCAGTGTGTGTGCAGGTTTTTGGGATAACCTTTAATTCAGCTGTTCAAACCCAGGTGTGAGGACTCTTCAGCCAGTCAGTCCTCTAATTAGTAATCTAATTTGCAGTGAAAACCCACTTACAGTGGCCCTTTCTGGGTAAGACTGGCCACCACTGAACTAGACATTAATTCCAAAGCTGAGTAACTATTCCCAAAATAGTTAAAAGGTAGATGACTGTAAGAAAAACAGCAAATGGGTTGATGGAAATTGTGAAGTTAACCACTATCAGAAGTGACACCTCATTTGGGCCCATCATCCCTGCCCACTTCCCAGGTGTATTTTGGATTTTTGGGTATATTCTTAGTTTGTGAATGACAGTTAAAAGACACTGAAAGTTAAATCTGACCCCCAGACAGCTCCTTCACTGCAGAATTCTATAAAAGCCCTTCAAAGCAACTCAAATGCGTAAGTTCTGGATACTTAAGAGTAGCGATTTTATTTTTGAAAGGGAAAAAAAAACAAAGCCTAGAATTTCTGCCTGCGAGCCAGCCATGCCATGCCAGAGCGTGATGGTAAAGGCACACATACAGCAAAATGTGCGATTCCTGTGTCACATCAGCAAACTCCAGCCATGATTACTGCATGAGGGTGTAATACGGTAAATCCACAATATGTCAACTTATTTTACGGGTGAGATGATAATGGTGGACCCCAAAGGACCATTCTAGCTATATAGGCTCACACTGAACATAATGGCATCATTTTTATGAGGAAAAAGTTATATACTTTTATTCTTTACAAAGTTACTACTGAAGATTATACTGAAATTCCTGTATAGATGAAAACACTGTTAAATTGTTCTTATATGACAATATGCTGTTTACACAAGTGAATCAAAAAATATATGTATGCAAGAAGCCTTTATTTTTAATTTACAAATGCACTAGGTATGAAAAAGGTAACAGGGTATTTAAATTATAGCTATCCCTCAAGCTAAAACATGCATACTGGATAGCAGACTTGCTAAAATCTGCTACTCTAGTTAGCAAGTAAAATATACAAGTGTATGCATATATAAATCTTCGGCTAAAATCAGCAATATAAAACAAAGAATAAAAGCTTGATTCAAAAATACTATTATTTAGCGAAACAATGCTTAGATCTAAGTACTTGAAATGATTTTTTAGATTTTGAGCTTTGAACACAGAGAAAACAGCTCCTTTGGTAAGTCTGACTTTTCACTGGCCAAGTCACATGCAAGGATGCAATGTTAGCCAGACAGAGCAGGGAAACGTGGGGAAACATGAGCATAATGAGCACAGACACAGATCTTAGCGCAAATCGTTACGATTGTAGTTTCTGTTCTGACAGCCAGCATGCAGGTGGTACTTCACCAGCAGTGAAAACCACTTGAATACACAGTTTCTGATTTAGTCACTGTGAATAATGATGATTTAGGGTGACAGCTGGGGGGGGAAGATACTAAATGCAATAATCATTTAATTCACTACATGTGAATCTTCCACCTTTCCCTGTCCGAGTGTTGGGGGTTATGTTTTTCATTTTCCACCCTGGACATTAGTGCAATTTAGGTGTGACAACAAATATTTAATTTCCCTCAAATAAGGTCATGGGTCAACCACGTAACCTTGGGAGGGAACATCAGCGCGATAATTGTCAGCCATTAAAATCAGTTTGATGAGGAGCGAAATCAGATTTATCAAAATGGCAAATCAGATGTGTGTTTGTGCTGCCAGGTATAGATAGTCCTGTGCCATTTTCAGTTGTGATCTCTGCTGTCTGGTAGAACGATCCAGTCTGCCACTGGCACAGATTGGTCGAGTGCTGGCAACGGGGCCTCTCTGGCTGGGGCTGACTTTGGGGAAAAGTGCCTGTTTCCAATGCATTGGTTTTGCACTAAAAGGTAGCGTAGCTGCTCTTCATAGGTGAGAGAGGTGATTCCTGGAGTTTGGACAGTTTTCCACATAAAGACTAGGACACTGAAGACATGGTAGGTGACAACGACATTTGTACAAGTGCTGATTGGCACTAGTCATCCCAAGGCTGAATGCAACCAGACGTGCTCCATCGGACAAAAGGACAACAATAAGGACAGAGAAGGTAGACGACAGCTAGACCAGGCAGGTCTTGGGGCAGGGTGAGAGGGGTCTAGAGGACACGCCCACTGCTAGGGGATGAGCTGCTCATCCTCAATGTGCAGACTGCTGGGGGGGCACAGCAGAGGCTGGCTAGAGCTGTTGGTGCTCTGGCTCTTCAGACTTTCCGTAGACTCTGACGAGCCTGTGGATGCAAGGCAGAGCGAGGAGAGGTCAAGGGGAATTAAAGGAGCAGAAACGTACCCACAACATCCCATTTGTGTACAATCCTATCAGTACTATTCAGAATATACATAAGCACACGGAAGGTCTAAGGCCATCAAAGAAGATGATGTTTAAATGATCTCACGTTGGTGTAAAACTATGATGCGTCTGTCAAAATGTGTCAGCTTAACCAATTCCAAACCTCTCCTAAGGTTAGCCCATACACCAATGTATTTTTTTGACTGGACCGCTAGCGTCCCATGTTTGGTTAATTAATATGCCATTGAGTTAATTAATTTAATTAGTTAAATTAAGCGAGCTGGTGGTGAAATTTAACAAACACATGGAATGGCTGGAGTGCCCCTGAGGAGGGGTTTGGGAACTGGCGTTCTTCTGGCCATTCAATAAGACATCAGGAACTTTTCTTTGGAGAACATAAACAATTCTTGTTAGTTTTTATTAGGTTACTGTTAACTTGCTTATTTTCTCATGTTCAATTGTTTTTTTTCCCCTGAGCAAATACATGCTTATGACCCAGATAAATAGCTTTAAACATTTTCTTTGATTGTCTAAGACATACGCACAGTACTGTATATAATGCACGCAAGACATTTGTCTTATTATAGGACAGATATATTTGCTACAAGTACAACAAAACACAATCAATGATAGTATTATGGAAAAAAAAAGTTGCAAGTTGGTGAGAACGCCAGTGGTGGAGGAGAGAGGACAGCCGGAACCTACCCGTGTTATTTCTCAATAGCAACACGGCAGGAGTCAGGAGCTGGGGCTGTCCCATCAAGAAAGCAAGCAAGCAGGCAGGCAGGCAGGCAGGGAAGGGAAGGGCAGAAGGGTTAAAAAACCAAGGAGAAAAGCAGAGAGTACAGGTGAGGTGCAGGGACAATGCAAGAATAGTAAGCAATTTATACAACCGGAAAGACCATCTACACTGAAGCATTCATTCAACAATCTGATTCCTTTTGTGCATGCAAACTGCAGAACAATACCAAGATAAAGACCATGACAAAAAGCAGAAATTCTTCGTGCAGCAGCAAAGGTAGACAAATTGGACACGGATGGGAAGGGATTAGTTCTCCATCACAGCAGGAAAGATCCAGAGAAGGGAGTATGCACTGACAGCAAGAGTGGAACAGGCTTTGATGGGGAGAGACTGGGTCACCTGGTAGCGACAGCTCCACAGGTGGGTCACTCTCAGTCTTTGTTAGACGGCTGTGCTCACTGCTGCTGTCATGAAAGATCTCACCCATAGAGTGAAGTCGATCTTCTGCACAGTGGAAGCAGAGAGGGGGGTAAGGCATTTTAGCAAGATGTACAACTTAAAAAGTATGTTTGCAAAATGTGCTTAATGTCAAAAGGTGGCTGAGAACAGCTTCAACAAATGAAAAATGAAATGTTCTCATTCTTGTAATGACTTGCAAAAGTTAACCAGAAAAACAGAGTTAATAAGTAACCTGAACATGCACACTGCTAGTTCCTCCTATTTCCTTGTTTTTTTGTCCGTAAGTACGTAAAATCCCTTCTGGAAATTCTGAATTGTTGGTCGCAAGCTCTCGTTTTTAATGACTAAAATATCCCCACACATAACAGCCTAATAAGTATGGCTCTTAGCTCTGAAACATGAGCGGGCTTTGCCACACTCCCTGTGACCCCACCTACGCTTAGAGTATACCCTGTCACCCTGCACCCCATCACTGACCTTCATCAGGAGTGACGGACCCCGGGCCTTCCTCGGCAGCAATGGCCTGCAGGAGACAAGAGGAGAAACGGCTTCACTCTTAGCAGAATGCTATAGGGAGCAGCAGGCCGGGAGGCAGGGGAGGGTGGGGGATCTTACCTCGGTGGAAGCGGGACTGCTGGACAGCAGGGCGTGAGGCTGGCTGTCAGATACCTCGGACAGCTTCTCCTCATCCTCCTCCTGGATGGGCGACGACGGGGACCTCAGGGTGCTACTGGGAACAGACCCATGTGTCAGACATTTCACCAAATGCTTTACAGTCATTCCACATCAAATGGAGTCATTCCATATCAAATCTACAACCCCATTTCCAAAGAAGTTGGGGCCGTGTGAAAAACGCAAATAAAAACTAAAAACGATGGCTGGTAAATTCTATTTTACCTAAATGTAACTGAAAACACCACAAAGACATAAGTTTGAACTGAACTTTTAAGAGTTATTTTTGTAAATACATGCTCAAAAAGTTGAGACGGGGGCTTTTTCCTATCAGTGGGACTATGACCTATGAATAGGTAACAGGCAAGACTATTCTGACTGGTGTAAAAAGCAGAATCCACAAAAGGCTCAGCTGGGTACAAGAAAGGATGAGCTGAGGTCAGCAGTTTAGAAACAACGTTTCTCAATGTATGATTACAAGGAATTCAGGGATTCCACCATCTATGGTCCATAACATCACTAAAAGATTCAGAGAATCCAAAGAAACCACTGTGCATAAAAGGCAAGGCTGCAAATCAATATGGAATGCCTGTGATCTTCATGCCCTCAGACGGCACTGCGCTGAAAACTGACATTCTTTTGTGATGACTAAACAAACGTGCTTGGGAATATTCTGCAAAGCAATGCTGGTAAACACAATTTGGCACAGCATCTACACTGTGTGCGGAATCATTAGCCTAGTATTGCTCCTTGAGATAATTTTCAGCAAAACCTAGGCAGACTTATAAAAGTGAATTTACAAGTTCTCTTTTGCGGCAAGTAAATTTAGAGAGTCAATATCACATTAGTCTATCATAAACAGAAATAAAAGAAAAACACTTGATTATCAGTGTATAAAATTGTTAGGCAATCAGAAACTAAGCGGATTTTTCTCTCTCCAACATCTACAGAAATAATAATAAATTTAGTTGTTCAGTCTGTATTAAGAATAAACTATTGGTCATTCTATTCAGTGCACTTAAGTGAAGGTTGTGTTTCAGACTTTGTGACCTTAGCAGCGATGCATAGCACCTGGTACTTCCAGAAATTCGATTCATATTGAGGTTTTAAAGAAAACCCCCCTTTAATTTGACACATATCTTTGGCACTTAATTTGTGTCATCTTCTCTCTACTCACTTCTCATTTTGTGTCTTGCATTCCTCTGACAGGCATTTTACCATTTCCCCCCCCCCCCAAATCTCCGTAAGGTACTTTTCTGACCCATTTTAATGCATTTGCTTAATAATTCTTCACTGGAAAGTGTCCATAGTTTTACTCCAATCAGAAAGTACTCAGAACTTCTGTCATGTGAAATGACAATATTGGCCTGAAGAGAAGAACTAAGTAACATACTTGCATTTATAGACCATGTGCAGAAATATTAGGCACGTTAAGAGTCTACTTTGCAAAGTGGAAGCCATACAATGGCTACATCCAGAAACGCCAACATGCAGAGGGTCATTAACTCAGCCCAGAAAACCATCTCCTGTCCTTAGAGGAGCTGCACAGGTCCAGCTGCTACAGAAAAGCCAGCAGCATCCTAAAGGACACATCACATCCAGCATCACATCCAGCATCCCACTTGTTTAAATTGTTGCCCTCAGGCAGGCAATTAAAGCTCGTACAGACAGACCGAAAAACAGTACATATCCCAGGGCCATCGCTGTTATGGACAATGAACTGAAATTAATGATTATCCAAACTCTCATCTCCACCATACTCTATTTTTTTTAGTGTACAAACGCTCCTCTACTTACGAACGAGATACGTTCCGAACAGCCGTTCATAATTTGAAATGTTCGCGAGTCATTATTCAACATCGTTTTAAGGGTATACGCAAGTACAAAAAACTAGGATGCTGGGAGTCCCCACGCTACACTGCTGCACGGCGGGAGTAGCGGCCAGATGTCGTACTCGGCGGAACTGGCGCGCAGAAAAAAAAAAAGATGTTGCAGACAGGAAACGGGAGCCCAATGAACACATTTTGGACTTAAAGTCCTCTTCGTTTGTGTGCCTGACAGTTCGTAAGTAGATGAGCGTCTGTATTTAATTTAGCTTTTTAATTCAAATTTTTATTGCACTCAAAGGGACTGCATCCAATTTCGTTGTACAATGATAAAGATTTTAATTCTGATGCACTGACATAGTGGGGACGCGCAGTGTGGGCTGACGAGTCCTCCTTTCAACTTATTTTTAAGGAAAACATGTGTCGTGTTTCGCAAGCCAAAGAGGAAAAGGATCATTCTTATTGTTATCAATGCTAAATTCATACACCAGGGTCGGTCATGATATGCGGGTGTGTTTGACCCCCGGTGGTATGGAGAGCACTATGAAGACACTACAAACCCTGAAGGGTACATAGGCAACATAGGCTGGCATTTAGATGACATCTTTTCCAGGGACACCCTTGGTTATTTCAGCTAGACGCTGCCAAGCTATATTCTGCATGTATTACAACATTTACGCTGGATGGCCAGCAGTCCAGACTGGTCTCCCACTGAGAATGTGTGGCGCACCAAGAAGCGCAAAATATGGCAAAGGAGACCCCAGCAGTGGTAAAAAGTCCTATATCAAGCAGGAACGGGGGGGGGGGGGGGGGGTGGAATTACACTTTATTACAATTAATGTCCTCAAAGTTGCCAAACGATTTAATGTTATCGAAAGGAAAAGTTACGTAAAGCAGTGGAAAACATGCCCCGTCACACTTTTTTTCAAACATATTGCAAACTTCACATTTAGAATAAGTGTTTTATAAAAAACAAATGAAGCTGATTAGTTCAAACTTATTTTAAAATTATGAGTAAAACTGAATTTATCAATTACTATTGTTTGTTTTTTTCGTATTTTCAACAGTATAATAAATGATAATTTAAGGATGCACTCATTTGTTTTATTGTATTTTTACAAACTAAGTAATGTGACCAGGATATATTAAATATAGTAAACAAATATGTATTATTTCTCACACGGATTGCCTAATGTTTTAAACATACAGGGGAATCATATGCTTGTGTGTATCTGGGACACTTAATCCATAGTTATACCACTAGTTATATCAAGTCATAACAAAGGACTGATTTTTCTTTTTTTTTTTTAATTTGTCAGAAACACTGTGTACACCACAAATTATAGTGACACTGTGTTCAGACCCTCTGGCTAACCATTGCAAGTGTGCATTGAGAATTCTCCACTTTAATGTATATTAAGTCTAGTTTTGACTCTGGTGCTCTAATCCCTGAGCATTTTTGACTGAGGTTTTGGCTACAGTCTTTATTTTACGCACGAGAGAGACTGCCATTCCTGACCGGCGGAAAAACAAGCATAATTTATGGCTTAATAACTGTAAAACGCTGAAGCTCTGCTTCCAACCAAAAGCTTTTTTGTGTGTGTCAGCAGTGTGTGTCTAATCACATTTCAGTGCCAAGTACAAACTGGCGTATGGGTCTCGCGTAACACTGGACACTGAAGATGCACAGCTGAAGTCGCACATGCAGTGGGACACCGGAGGGGTGGGTCCATACTCAAAATTCTCCATCTGCCTCCAAAAATGTTTTATCATTTGTGCTCCCGGTAGATAACGTCAGAGTACAGACTTGCTACTCTCGCTTCTATGAGCGTTTTTATTAAAATATACACATAAATGAAGAAAAAGGGGCTGTAATCATTCTATGTATTTTGTGGTTAGGGGAACTGGAGCAGAACACAGCCAAGGTTAATGTTTAATTGCGGGGCATGCTCTCACCTGTCAGGTGACTTGCTGACCTTGCCCTTCTGACCCCGTCCCGCGTCTCCGGAGCGCTCCACCGATCCAAGCTGCCGGCCCGACAGCGGTAAGGGATCCCCGAGACCGCCAGAGAAATGGATGTCATCATAGAGGGGGACCAAGGGGATGCTGGGGGAAATGGAGCGCAGGCCGTTGAGCGCCTCCAGGAGGGAGATAGGCTCAAAACCAGGTGGGACGTTGTCCGAATTCTGCAGCAAGATTGATGGAGTGCCAGGTTACATTCAGCGCATATGCACACATGCATGCACACAGACACAAACACCACACACACAGACACAAACACCACACACACAGACACACTCAAATTCCCAGTTTCAATGAGGTCAATGCGGAGGTTGTGCAATATCTGCCTGACTGCCTTTCATTCTCCGTCAGACACAACATTTCAGAGCATTGTTGCTCCATGGATGGCTGCTGGGGCCTGGGAAGGAAGCCAGAGCTATTTAAGGAGCCCACGTTTCTTGATGGTAAAATGTGCAATAAGCAGGCTGGGGGTGGGGCAGGGGGGGAGAGTCTGGCCCCTCCAGTTACCATTTTCCAATGTTTCAGCAGCACAGTACAGAGACCTGCACTCTAATGTGGAAAAGTACTTTTCTGTCTGATTTCCCACATTCAATTTCAAGCCGTGTCGGCAGTATTCGAGAAATTCCAAGGGACGTCAATACAGTAACAGACTTCTGCTGTCTGGCATGGAGCGATCAAACGCGCAGTCTTCCATTTCCAAAAGGTTCTGCTCTCTCTCTCCCCAGCCAGCTAATCCCAAGTTAACTGGGGCAAAGGTAGGGAGTGGGAGTTCCTATCAGTGTAAACCTTCCCAAAAGCAGCCATCCATCCCGACTCACGGGACAAGCTGTAATCTGTGAAAGACAACCCTGAAGTGCTGTACCGAATGCTCATCGTGCTCCATGGTCTGCGCCAAGACTGGGCTGAAGGACACAGGAGACAGCGCCCCGGGCTTCTTCCTAACAGCACGGATCTGGAGCAGGGCCCGGAAGGCTGCAAGGATGGGTTTGGACACGTCACATTAGAGTGCCACATGGCACGTGTAAAAAAGTCAACTCAGAATAAAAGCAGTGCCCGGTCACACTCTTGCAACCTGCAGTATCGTTCCTTCAGCAGCAGACACTTCACATAGGAGCACAGGCCAAGTTAAACAAACAACAAAAACAACAACAGATTAGGGTGAGGACATATGCACCTATGTAACTTACAATGACGGTGACACTGTGCTGTGAAAATGGTGCTGTCCTATAGATGAGACGTAAAACTGAGGTCCTGACTCTCTGAGGTCATAAAAGATCCCTGGGCATCTTTCGAAAGAGTAGAGGTGGTACCCCAATGTCCGTGCTAAAACTGCCCACTAATGCCCTATGCAATCTGGACTCCTAATCATCCCCTATATCTAACTGGTAAATTCTCTCCAGCCCCTTCACCACCTTAGCTACTGTGGGGTGAGTGTACTGGTGCAGAATGGTTGCTGTTGCATCATCCAGGTGGGGGCTACACAGTGGGGGTAATGCTTCTGTGAAGTGCTTTGGGTATCTTGAAAAGTGCTATATAAATGAAGTGATTCATTAAAAACCATCGCCATATGGTTCTCTTTCATTACTAAAGTACAAAAGACTAACAGTCAGATAATCACTTGCTTGGGAATTTTTTTTTTTTGTTTAATGTAAACTGTAACACGGTTATGACATCTAGCAGAACACAGAACTAGATTTTGCTCAGGCAGGTTCTACAAATGATCGTGTGTAACTTTTGTGGATCTGAATAAACACACTGTCCACCAGGTGTCTCCATTTTTCCAACTGTTCAGTTACACGAGAACAGACACAGATGTGCGTACTGTGGATAAGAACTGAAAATCGCATACAAAACCATTTTGGCTTGACACCAAAATGTCTCTCTAGGGACAACTATTTAACAAATGACTATCGATACTGTGCTAAGCTACTTTATCTGAATACAAAGTATAAAAAATTAAACAGTAATCCTACCAACGCAGAATTAACTCCAGTTTAATTCTGGGAGGTACACATAGATACACCTTACATTTCAACACTTTCACATCTCTGTGTTTGTGTTTCGACAAACTCACGCAGTCTGCATATGGGGCAGTTGTTGGCCTGGTAGCGCAGTGTGTCTGCACAGGAGTTGCACAGACACAGGTGCCTGCAGGGCAGGATGAGTGTGTCGCGCAGGTCAGACAGGCAGACAACGCACTCGTTGCTATTGTCGCTGTTCTCATCATCTGTGGGCTGCAAACAAAATGGGACGCGTGAGATTCAGTGACTGCCAGACGGCTCCCGACAAGCTTCGAGGAACCAACGGAGTGAATCAGCTACACTTCAACATCACAAACAAATGCAGGGTGAACAAGCACGTATCCACACAGGCCAATAATTCAGTGATTCCTAATCCAGTCCTTGGGGATCCGCAGACAGTACCGGGTGCTGTGAGGAAGCAAAAATGTGGACTGTCGGTGGGTCTCCGAGGGCACGGTTGGGAAACGCTGCTATAGACTGGCCGTTATATACAGTGCACTGCATAACTCAGTACACCCACTTTGAAAACTTTAGATTTGTATACATTTCTCAGTGTGCACCAGAACAATTATCCGAGTTTTAATAAACTTTCATTTCATTAACATAAAAGCTTCATCACCAACATTATTAAAAGAAAAAAAAATGTATTCAAGTTGTTGTAAAAATGAATACACCCTATAATTAATTCCGCCAAATTTAATATTTTGTATGGCCTCCATGATTTTTAAGAACAACACTCTTGTAGACATGGAATGAACAAGTTGTGGACATACTGCCACATCTATCTCTCTCCATTATTGGAGAACGATGAGCTCGTTCAGAGCCTGGATGGAGAATGGTGCTCAGCCTGTCCTTCCAGAACTCCCCGTAGGTGCCCTTTGGGTTGAGGTCAGCTGATATGCTTGGCCACTGAATCACTTTCACCCTGTTCTTCCTCAGAAATGCAGCAGTGGCCTTGGATATATGATTTCTTGTAGCCTTAACCTTTTTTTGTGTAAAGAAATGACTTGCTTTCTGAAATCTTGTGACATTTCTCTTCCATTACTCTCAGCACTGTGTGGGAGGGGATTTTATTTGTTAAATATCACCCTTAATTGTCAGTTATTTGGTGGCCACCTGTGTGATGACTGAGTAGAATTATCTGTTGTTGAATTCCTGTTAACATTCCATCAAGTTTTATTCCTTAGAACTTCATTGGGCTCGTACTCATTTTTGCAACCAAAAAAAACTGATTTTATGGTATAGGATCCCATAGAAAGTATTAATTCTAAAGAGACAGTTGCTTTCCTGAGAAATCCTTTGGGGTGCACTCAGTTATGCTGGACACTGTACCTGAAAAACTGTTTTCCGCTTTTAAATTCTGGTTGACCAACCAGAGGATGGCAAACGGCCAAACAGCTGTACCTTGGTCTCTTGGTTGTTCTTGTTCTCAATCCCATAGATCTCCTGTAACAGGTAGCTGACTCGATCCACCTGGGCAGAGACATCGCAAAGAAGCAGAAGCTAGCTGTACGCTGTCTATCACAGGGAACCTGCAGACAAGCTCATTACTTGTTCAAACTGGGTTTTCCCACACATGGCATCCCCATAATACTGGTAGATATGTCACTATCGTCCAAATCCAAATCTACACCGCTGCTTTGAGCACAGACTGTTGACACAAAAAGGTTTATCTGTTCTTGTCTGAATAAAATGCACATTATTAGACATCAGTGTGGGCTAAAGAAAGCAGCTCATAGCTACCCAGCTTTGAGACGACATGAAAAGGCCATTAGGAGCTTGCTAAAAATGTCATTTTCTCTTCAGAAAAGAAATTTTCCTTGAACAGTGACAGTCTCCTCCATGTGACCGATATTTACATATTCTCTCTTTTTAGACACTGTGAAATCTAATATCTCTTTGGAACAGGATCCTTCCACAGTTCAGTCTTTCCACACAGTTACCTCTCTGTTCCTATCTGTAGGGCAGAATCCCAAGCAAACTTGGGTTGATGTTTAACTCTGGTTGGATGCATAGAATTGGATTTAGAATTAAACAGTCAATGGAAAACCTAGTTATTTCATTATTGATACTATTTTTGGAATATCCAACAAATCCGTTATGTAATAAAGACTTCAAAACAAAACCCTGGGTCTGTACAAAACATGCAGTCCACACACAAGGGAGTATTTACTCACGATCTGCTTTTGCTTCAGTGGCTTCACAGAGAAACTGCCGTCTACATGCTGACAAGAGAAGAATTGTTTTACTTTCCAAATAAGTTATACTTGTTCCTGGAATTAACTACCTTTTCCATTGGCTGCATGCTGCCCCATAGCATCTGTGCTACGTAATGTCAAGCCCAGCATCTTTGTTAAAAAGATAATTGTTATTATATGTCTTTTTGAGCTAAACTCTTTCATAAGTGCTAATGACTTTTCCTGGTGGTGAGCCCAGCAAAGCCAGCCCTGGGTAAAATCAAACAAAACAGCATGCTGCTTTTTGTCTGGGAGTACAAACACATCATTTTTCTTTTTTTAATTCCTAACTTTTTTTTTTTTTAGTCCAAACAACAAAGTCAACCAAAAATATAGTGCTCTTAAAAAATAAAGCTAATGCAGATGATGCACCAAGAACCACTTTCACTCCACTGCGGTTTTCTGCGAAAGTAATTTGGAGTCACTGCAACGCAATAGGGTTTAATGTAAAATGCCATGCAGAAAAATTAGCCCTAAACCCAATGAGAACTTTGAAAATGATACTTACTCTTTCAAAGGCAGCCAGCAGCACATGTGCATGTCCAGAAACTTCTATAAAAGGAGAAGAACATTAATAATAAAAGATGAGTGGTGTGGTGAATGAGGTCACTTGTTGATGACATGGCAGAGAGTTGTGCCTTTAACTAGCAGAGAGTGCAGTGGACACAGATGCGTTCTGCCTCCAGTTGCATGTGCGTAGTGCTCTGGAAAGCACTTACCGTCGCCTTCATCCACCACGGCCTGAATCACCATTGGAAAGACTCCTCTGTCCAAATCAAAGCTGAGCTAGAAAGGGGAGTGGGGGAGACATATTTCCGATAACACTCTGAGAAACTCGCACACAAGCAGGACTATGACCAGAAAAAATGTTCTGGATAGATGGGAAATCTCTCTGGCCTAAAAACACAAATTCAGGTCTATAAAGCCACGCAGGGGCACTTGTGTTTACAATGGGACTTTAAAGGCTGTCAGTTTTCTGTATTCTCCAGTCGTGTTGCACAAAACAAAATTTTCCTTTTTCCATCACCAGCCACCATAAAAAAACAGCACAGCTGCTTTCTGCTGCACCCAGTAACCCAATAATAAGTGTGGCGGGAGATGATATCGCAATTACACAGAAGATAACGATGTCGGGGGTAAAATGGGGCTCCGTCACGTCTACAGATGATACGCAACACTAGACCATTGAGGGAAAAAAGCAATTCCGGGTCATTCTTTGGTTCGGCGGCTGAAGCTTTTCAGCAGCAGAGGTCATTAGGCTTATTCGTGGTTGAATTTTTTATTTGACAAATGCACAGCTATGCTGGTACTTTGCAGTGAAATTAAAATCTGGCTTTTTCTCCTGCGACTGCAGCAAGAATGAAGATAAAGTCCATGTTGAGAAGCCTGATGGCCTGAGGGTATAAACTCCCCAGTTTAGTTTGGCAGGGAAGGGGAGGGGAAGCGCTGCCCCCCTGCTAGGCCTAAGAAGCCTTTGAGGGACACTCACCTCTTCCTCTTTCCACTCGGTGAAATCGATTTTGAAGGACGGGAGGGAGAACTGCTGGCTCACTCCTCGTTTGTAGTGTACTGTTTCTGACACCATCATGGGATTCTTGGGAGAATAACTTCAAAGGAAATAAGGCAGTTTCCATTCTCAGGCCTTAGCAGTAGACAACGAAAATGTTGCTCCACTCAACGGTGACGTGAGCTCATCAATAATGCATGGTGATGGTGCGGATACCAGTTACCAGAGTAGGAGAACTCAAGCAAATACCTGCGTTTGACACACCAAAAATGCTGAGGGGAAAAAACCACCCACTGACAAAGCCTACAGATATGCACAGTTACTACATAAAATGCTAAAGGCTAAAAGCAGCCTTAATTGAAAGTTCAACATGACTCTGCTGGTTTTAATGGTCCGGTCTGCTATCTTACATGGCCATGCCGTTGGTGAATTCCTCAAAGGCCTGGCAGTACAGGGTGATGGCCACCCGAGCATCCGCATCAAAGGTAAACTCCACGCTATATACCACTCGGGGCCTCCCCCCGTCCTCCGTAGGACTGTCCGAATCATCCTTATACCTGCCAAAAGGCAACAACAACCTTCATAAGCCCTCCTCGTTCTACCAAAGAGAACACTTCTAATGCAGAAAACACACAATTCTGCACATACAAATATTACAGGATTTAACTGCTATAGTTACCCTACAAATATTACGCTAAAGCTCTGACTGCTAATGGTGCAAGCAGGTCCATGTCAGAGGACGGCAAGACATATATTGGACACTATGATGCAAGGCTTCTAGCTGTGGCCTGGTGGATCCATGGTATCACCTGACGAGTCGTAGAGAGTCCTTCCTGATGTTCACCAGGCTTCTCAATGTCTTCACAGCTTCGTGTGGAGCTGGGGTCACATAAGGAAACTGGGCACCAAGAAGAGATACCGGTTAATGTGTTCCTACACCTTAAGCTCCATTAAATATCCCTTTCCACATCATTTAGACAACATTAAAAACAAAGGAAACAGAAGCGTCGGCTGGTGAATGAGTTAATATTTATTTTTAAATATCCTTTGCAAGATCAGCCCTGTGAACTGCTGCATTCTTATCAGTGGGTGTACCTTCCTGTGAAATCACAAATAAGAGGTCAGTCTGAGAGTTCCCCAGACAACTGCACAATAAGAAACATGATCTAATTCGTTAAGAGCCTTTATAATGATTAACTGTTGTAGATGTAGTCGGCGCTATGCGAGTGAAACCCAATATAGCGTCAGCACTATGGTGGTTTTACCTAAAATGTTCCATATACTATGGACATATAAACACCACAATGACTGCCAGTCTATTGCCAGATTGGCCAGGCTTCACAACAATGAGTAAAGGATGCGACTAAAAGCAATAGGGAATAGTGCAATTAAAGCCCTGTGCTCTTCTGTAAACTTCAGAAAACAAGACTGTTTTCCTTTCAGACTCTATGTCCCTTTGCCAGTTGGGGCTGCTAGGGCTGGGAAACTTTGAATTTGTATAATATAACAGATTTATCATTCAAATAAATTCTAGAATTAATTACAATCATACTATGGATCCAACCCCTCACTGCACAAAAGCCTAAGCCAATTGTGTGCAACCAACTGTGAAAGGTGAAACTGGCAATGCTTGTCTACTATTGTCTTAAGAGAGGAAAATGACGGGACAATAACATATAACAACATGTGTATTTTTTAGTTGCTTCAGGGTCTGCACGATACAAACTGCAGGTAAAATAAAAAATTTCCAGACTGCACTTTTCAGGTTTTTGGTTTTCTGATTCACACATTATTTCACTAGTTTATGTGCTGGCTAGTTTCAACCATTTTGGCTAGCACAATTAATATGGCAGTCAGCCCCTAAAACCAAATCCAGTATTCTGCTTAAGCAAAAAGGGCAAACAAAAATGTGGAAATATGATGACTTAATGGTTGCTCATATACATCTTCAAAAATTTGAATATGTAATTCTATGTGTAAATATTCTTTAAATTCAAATTACATGATTCAAATAAGATTAAGGGGCATAAATGAATCTCATTAGAATAACAATGTTGGACTCCCAGCCCTATTACCTGCACAGGTCTGTTGCCAAGGAAGTTCAGGTCCATGTTTTCCCCAAACAGGTATCCCTCAGGATGAGGGGTGTCGAACTTCTCCCCACCCATAAAAAAGTGACTAGCAAAATAGTTTCCTTGAGGAAAAGAAAAGATGATAAACTGTCACAAAAAGAATTTCCCAGAATACTCCATGTGAAACATCAGCTGGGATGCTGCATGTCACACTGGAGGACACGTACACTGCACCCAAACTGCATTGCTGTGGCTCAGTGCCAGATGGTGTCTTCTGCATCAGCTTGTTTTAAAGCAGGATGCCATCTGAATCAGAACAGCAAATCGAGCGTGCCTTGACATAATGACATGATACCTTGAGTAATGAATAAGAAAAGAGATCTGTACAGCATTCTTGTCATTTTTGTTCCGGCTGCAGAATGACTAACACAACCCACAGAAGCTTTCTAGCACTGGAACCATAAGGAGAACTACTACATACAAGTAACAACATGAGTAATCTCAGGTCTCAGCTTTGCCCGTTTCAGCACCGGACGTAAACTGCAAATTAATCCAGAGTCATTCCAAAGCATAATGATTTTATTTTCCAATATGCTGCATGACAAGACACCTACAGAAAGCCAACGGCCTTGGTTTGGGTTACACTACGACTTAACTGAATTCAAAAGCATATGGGACCATCTGATTTAAATACACATCTACTGAACATGCAGTACACTGACTTTTCCGGTCACCTTTCGATTGACATTCAAAGTTTGCAATAGAAATTACAAATTCTAACTGCACTCAATTTAGATATTCATAGGCTATGACCCATTAAGTAATAAGAGTAATTAAATAATCATAATTACATTTAGTAGTTATCCTTTTATCTTCCTAAGTTCAAACATCTCCGAAGGTATCACCAAAAAGAATGCAGAAACATAAAGAAAGTTCTGCATTCGACTGTATAAAATTCTTTGCTTTGGATTTTTGTTCATTTTTAAAAACATTTTCAAAAAGCCAAAAAAGTGATCAGCAGTAATCTCTCCTTTATCTATCATTATCCTTGAACACCTAAGTATTTCCTTTAGATGGTCATTTGGCTCAGTCTAGATGGATACAGTGAATTTTAAGGTGAATCACTGTTCAATAAAACCCAGAGTAGCTGCATACATCACGAGCCCACAAACATAACCCCCCCCCACCCCCCCAGAGCGCTTTGACAAAGTCAATGAATTCCAAGGTCAGGTTCACCCCACAGGGAGGCTTCATGCTTAACTTCATGCACTGAAGGTGTCCTCGAAGCTTTCATGCTAATCTGTTCACTAAACTTTTAACTTGTATTGGGTTAGCCCATCACCTTGGAAACCGGGAAATTACTCCTAGACTGACTCACAATAGCTCCAAAAAAAAAAAAAAAAAAGCTTTTTGGACAAACTTGAAACTGTTTTAGAGAAATGTAAATAATTTTATATGAGGACATAAGCCAAACTCAGGCTCTTCTAAAACATCCCTCTTTGTGGACAAAATGCAAACATGAGACTCTGCATGGGTCATCATCGGTCTACCACTCTAAGCAATGATTATCTTTTCGGGTTTTACAGCCCCTTACCAACAGCTGAAACATGCTAATGTAAAATGTTTAAAAGGTTACACAACCAGGAGAAAGGTTAGTTTTTAACATCCCACAATTTATTTTTAACTTGGGAGCAGTTTGTTTAGAAGTGAGATTCATGGTGACTGCTTAAGGAACGGACCACTGAAAATTTTTCAGTCAAGTGAGCCAGGGCACTCCAATATTGCATTTATTTTTTACTGTCGTTTCTGATCAAGTTGTCTTGTTTAGTATTACTTTGGTAAGTATTACACATCAGGTGAAGACTGATACTCATCTTTGGTTTACAAATAAATTTACTAACTTTTAAAAATGCATTTAATCACATAATATTAAACCAGTGGTATCGGGAGTAAAATTGATTCTAATGTAGAGCAGTTTCTTCAAAACTAACTAGAAAGCAAATTAACACAAGTCCCTTCAATTGCAGATAAGCTATAAATAATTCATTCAGTTCCATAGGTTGGCTAACAAAAAGCTTTCGTTGTCTTAAATATAACTAATTTTATTCCAAGAGGGAACATGGTCTCCGTGTACATCAACTAGTCTGCTCAATAGGCCAGTACAATTACTGGGAGGCCATTTCCACAAGGACTGATACAAAAAGTTGGGCAGTCCGAAACACCAATGAATATCTGTTTCGATTGTGCCTCTGTTCATTTCAGGGGTTGAAATAACAAAATCGAATGAGATGAAATCAGTTTACAGCTACTTACCAGATTTTGGAGGGTATCTGTAGGCTGAATTTGCTTGGATATCGATGTCCTCAACGCCAGCAATTCTTCGACTGAGAATGGATCCCATCTTTACAACAGATTAAAGCCTACACCAAAGCGACAACGACAGCTCTCACGAAAGGTCGCGCTTTCAGTATTTTTTCTCAACACAAATACATCGTGTATATGCAAGCCTAACGTTATATCAGTTTAACACTAACTCCTGCCTGGTCCACCTACGTCGATGTTTTCCAGGGTAACAAGTCTGAGTAGCTGCTCTAGTTACAGAGACAATTTTCTATGTTGCCTTCGCCAGTAACGGTTTTAAAGAACGTTTCCTTATGCCCAAGTGTATTAAGCTATAATAAATACGATTGTCGTTAGTTACGGAACATTTACGAAAATAAAGAAAAGAAAAACAAAACAAAAAAACTAAACACAACACGGGATGGTTTTTTCACCCCCCCGTTTCTAGCACTTCGCGCGATGAGTGGAAGTCTGTGGGAAGGATTGTGGGAAGTGTAGTTCAAAAGTACCACTGTTCGCCGTGCATTATGCGGGGTCAATTGCATCTAAAAACTGTACTTTTTTATGTGTTTCTATAAGAAATTAAACTCTTTTTTTCACTCGGACAGACATCTTCGAGCGGGTGGTTCAGCGAGTTAGGATGCTGTCACTATGATCAGAAGCTGGATGGTTCAAATCCCTGATTCAAAAAAGTAATTTTGTTGTTAGGGCCCTTAGAAAAGCCCTTGATCCCTAATTTTCCCTATCACCGCTCTCTTTTAAAAAATGTATGCTGCTGTGGATAAGAACTGTCTGCTAGATAAATAAAATTACATATAAATATTTGGGGAAAATACCATAACTTTAATTCACTTGTATGTCACCTAGCCATTAATATTAATTTTGAATGTCAGTAACATTTCAGTCTGTAATGTTAATCCTTACACTCAAAGGACACCCCATCTGACTCCCACGTTTCTTGCATGTGGTCCATCCACAAGATGGCTCCACGTAGCCATTTTGGGAGGAGCCCGCCTGGGTTACTGGGCTGCTCACTGATGAACATCACCCCAAGGTCTGCCTCCAAAGGTATGTCCTTGCAGGGGCTGGTGTGTTGTTTCTCGGGCTCCACTCAAAAAGCCCCCTAGTGTAGTGACTGTTTGTGGCTAACAGAGGCCCCAAAACCTCAGCCGCCCCACACATATATATGGGTTGAGTGGTGGTACACATTACAGCTGGGTCCTTGTAAACCTATTCCTGACTGTTTACCATGGTTTTTCTTGGTAGTTTTCTTGGTAGGCTTTTTATTGGCTCATGTTTCATCCAGCCACTCCCTACAGACCTGTTTGGCAAGAGAGGGCTTCAGAGGGGATGTCTAGGAGAGGACTCAGCAATGTCTATAGGATCCCCCAGTATGACTTAGAGTCTGTGGCCATGGAAAAAGGAGTCTGGTCTGGTCTGACCTGTTCAGCATGCATCTACAGCAATCCCCACCAGAAGAGGTAGGAAAATAAGATGGGTAATATTTCAGGCAACTGGCAACTCCATGGCACCCAACCATCTTTTAATTGTGATTATTCTCTGAAAATGCTGCAGATGTAACTGTTGCAGCTTGTTGATTCTTTTATTGTGGAATCCAGTTAATGTACAGTATGTTAGCTGAGTAGCAGTCCACGTGAAATGACCAGCCATTTGGCATTTACAAATATTTAAAAAAATGATTCAAAGACAGTGAAGTGTCTTAGTGGGTAGCACTACTGCCTCACGGGGCAGGCCATGTGAATCCCACATGATTTACCCTGCCCTGGGACATTCATTCAACAGGGCCCTTCAGTTTAAACAAAATACAAACATAATCTGTGCTTTCATTGCAACCGTTCAAGTGGAAACAATCACCCATTTGTTCATCGAACACTCACAACATCAAATATGCAGAAATAGTAGTTTAGCAGTTTTATTTCCAGTTAAATATTACTCATCTCTTATCACATGCAAATCAGAGAGAAAGATAACATTAATGGAATTCAGCCTCAAGTAAAACATAGCAGTGAATAATAAGCTGGAACACACACAGTAGTAAGTTCACATAACAAAAGCATAAATATCAGAACTAATTGCAACAGAGAGATTTCATGTATGCCTGTCGTGAATATATTTTGGGTAAACAAAATGATAGACAGATTGCTCACATTTAAGTAACAGAATTTGGGGGTTCTGATCCAGATTACCTCATACCAGGAATAACATACTTATGACCTGTCCAGTCTGTCCAGAGCACAGTTTGTATGACCTCATTTAACAATTAATCCGGTAAAAATTTCCCATTCTTCAGAATTGGAATTAATACCCAAGTGACTCAGAGACAGGGTGTAATGCACTTTACCATGGATATCCAAAATGGAAAACTGAGTAACACCAGTTCATTGAAACACAAAACAAAATGGAACATAATGATAAGTAGTAAAAACAAACAAACAAATAACTAAATAATAATAGCAAGCTGTACCAAAAAAAGAAATGTACTTTTTAGGATTTCATATGTACATATTGGATATGTTAAAGTTATAATTATAGATTATCGCATATTTATATATTGTCAGTTATAACTTATAAGCAATGAAGTGTAAATGTGTATTTAAATAAATTTAAATATATATTTTTTAAATTACATATAATATATATATAAAATTATAAATTTTAATTTATAATTTAACCATAACAAATCAAATATGAATTTCCATATATGGAACTGTTACTTCAATAATGGATAATTGCTGTATTTGCTGTTTTTTTAAAAAAAAATCTTAAAAATTAATAAACCCTTCTCATTCCAAAACAATTCCATAAGCGTTCAAGCCATAACCAATGTATAATTTACAAACCACATACTTTTCAGAATTTTGTGGCGTGGTTACCATTATCTACAAGTATTAAATAATATACAGAAAAAGAGTTATGTTGTAGTTTGAGGCAGCATCCGGATAGCTGTGTCGTTACTTAGGTAAGAATACATTTTAAACCTGAATGCGTAAATATGTGACCTATTCACACAAGCCGTTCCCAAACGACACACACGCAGACATACAAGACAGCGCCGCCCCGGCTCGATTTTATTGGTGCTTAAGCATTTGTTTACCTTATTTGGTAAGCTAGTGACACAGCGCATGGAAACTGGACAGGAGTGGCCGTCATTCACAAATTTTTGCCCTGCTGAATTTTACAAACAAAACGTGTGCTGCCGGGACTTGTAGTCCAAAGCCAAGCGAAAACAGAGAAGGCGGCTCAAATAAAGATATATTATATATATGTACTTATCTATATATGTGGTCACAGTTACAAATATTTGTTAATATTATTACTTAATAGCAGAGGAAGCTTTCTAAGTCCACATTTTGAACGGATGTTGTATATGATATGTTTCTTTGGAAACCTACAACAAACCGTTTCTCAGCAGAACCCTCAGTAGAGGCGGATCCTTTGTATGTCCCCACCCCCACCGATGGCCGTTCGTCTTTTTCATTGGCTGCTCCTTCCTGTCAATCCCGTAACGTTCAGTACATTGGCAATGCTCATACAGTAAATATTTGTGTTTGCTCAGCCGGCTGTAATGGTGGATGACTGAGAGAGGAACCGCAGGAAAAAGGGGGAAAAAAAACTACAAAGACTGAACCCCAGGCTCAACACTAAATACACGCTTAGAAAATCCGCTCCGGCAAATATGGACGAACTGAAGCACCAAGTAATGATAAACCAGTTTGTCCTGACAGCAGGATGTGCGGCGGACCAGGCGAAGCAGCTTTTACAAGCGGCACATTGGCAGTTCGAGGTAAGGACACTCAGCTATAGCTAGCAAGCTACTATATCGTGGATGTGACAGTGTATTCATGACTTAAATCGGATTGCCATGTTGATTGTAGGTTTGTGTGGTGAATTATGTAAAATATTTTATTCATGCATACATATTATACATATATGCTTTTCTTCAGATATTTGATCGTTGTATTACAATAAAAAATTAAACGTGGATAAATGAGCTGTACGTACGACTGTACTTAACTGTTAATAGTATAAAGCGTTTCCTTCTAACCCAGTAGGAGATCCCTGCTCTGAAATGAACAGACACGAGTGCAGTTTTGATTGTTGGTTAGTAAGCAAGACTACACACTTAACAGAAGAGTAATGTGGACGGCACGTTTTGAAAACAATTTTAATGATTTGTGCGCGTTATCTAAATAATGACCTTATTATCCAACCCCCTGAAGGAAAGGCACAATATAGTGATATTTTGTAACTAGGTAATTTGTTTTCTTTTTGTTTAGACTGCACTTAGTGCCTTTTTCCAAGAAACAAATATCCCATACAGCCACCACCATCAAATGGTGAGTATTATTATTATTATTATTATTGTTATTATTGTTATTATTATTATTACTACTACTACTACTACTATTACTATTACTACTAGCACCATTGTGTCATTGTCCGCCATGTTGCGGAGACGCGAGGCAGCCGCAGATAAACACAGTTTGCCACGTTAAAAGCTCCCCGTCTCACATTTCCAGGATGCCGTGAAATGTCCACAATGCTTAATTTCACGCAGCACCGTCTGAAATGAGACGTGGCTGCCGGAGCCGGTGCCGCACGGCTGGGAGCCCCTCACAGTCTCAGCGTCCGTGTTTTTATTGCGGCACTGGAAGCGTATCTCACAAGCGTGAGGCGGGTGTTTCCAGGAACATGACCAGCATTGTGCTGCAGTTTTTCCTCCCCTTTTCTTTTCTCTGTTCACATTTGCCTTCATTATACCCTAGGGCATCGTTATTAGTAAATACTGGGCATGCATACTGCCTGTGCTTAAAGACTCTCTACTGCCTGCTTTCTACTTTTATTTATTAATGAATATGGTTGGTTGTACAGTCGGACAATGGACAATGAGAAATATTTCAGTCGATGATTACATTACGATGATTATTTATTGTCAGTCTGCTTGGCTAGTTAATGGTGGTTATGGTGTAACTCTGGCAGATTATTAAGGTGTCACTCTTTCGTTGAAATGTCCATACATTTCAGTTTGGATTATATCATAGCTATATTTATATAACCATATTTTTAAAAAAATGATCAGTGTGTGACATCTGCGTATAAACGTAGTGGTCTGGTCACTCGAGGATTTCGGGGTGATTTGTAGAGAAATTCAATATAATAGAGTGTGCGCTGCAATGGCCTGACGTACCTTGTGCTTCTTGGGACTGACTCCAGACTCAGCACACCATTATGCTGGATAAGTGGTTATGGAAGATAGACGGATGTCTATGGAATATTCTTTCCTTTCCAGAAATGTTGCATTTTAGCTTTGTAGAAAACTCCTGTGGGTTCATGTGCCTGCTTTCTTTGTTTGGGTTTGCAAAATCCTTAACTGGGATTGTGCTGGTGAAAGTGCAAAGCTAAGCGTAATTAAATTAAGGAAACCTGTTTAAAGTAAATGTATGCCAAATTGTACACAAAAACGTTTAAAAAGCAATCATATATGATGCAAGTGAAGCTACTTGTATAGAGAAACGTATGCACCATTCATAATGCAATCATCTAAGAAGAAATTCAATATTGAAGTACTTCTGTAAGCCAATATTAACATAGGGACTGCCTATTAATCTGCAGTACTTCTGAAATTGTTGTAATTGAATACTACATTGGAAATGAACCTAGTTGCAATTTTTGGCAATATAGTGATGATTTTTGATGGCATCTCCATTGATGCCATCTTTTGTTTAGTTGCAAGATACATTGGACAGGAGAAGTGCTTTTCTTAAACCCCCCCCCCTTAAGGTTTAATAATGTTACAAGGTGAAACTGTTCTGCTCTGTAGAAATCAGCCAATTGCTGCTTAGTAAAACATGGCCTGACCTTCGAGGCTGGTTAGGCTTCATGAAATCTCACTTTAAACAGGCTGATGATATGTTGGATGGTGGGGGATGTGTACAGGCAAGCTCTGAGGTTCTGTTCCGGTGTGCTTTAGTCGTCTACAGGGGTGCATAAATTGCACTCCTTGATTGCAGGAGAAACAAAAAGGAATGTCATGCACACTAAAATGCAGAGTGAAACCTGTTGTTGCTTTCTCTCTCATTATGCAATCCAAAATGCCGTTGGTGTATCTCCATGTCCAAACTCTTTTAGTCATTTACTACCTGGGTTTCTGATTTCTTGACTGGTAATCAGATGATCAGAGGTTTCATATGTGGCACACTCTCACACAGACTTGTATTTACACTTATATCATGCAACAAAAACGGCTAGTGTTATAACTACATAGTGTCGGCTAGGATCGCCTTGAAGTGTTCTGGAAATTAGCATAAATATTTGTAATTTGGTGATGCTGCATTACTTCAGGCAGGCCCACAGTCTCAGTTTAGGAGTCTAGTACTTGATAGGAAACCAAGCTATAGCATAACGTCAGCTTTAATAGAGTTACTCTCCTGAAAACTTTTTGGCTCATGGTAGAACAGTCGTGTAGGTAGAGGTGCATGGTCATGCTGGTGTGGACCAGCTCCCCCTCAGGCTCAAGCTGCGCAGCAGTGATGCAGCTTGGTGACTGCAGAGCATCGCTTCCTTTGGGACAGAGTCGAGCTGCCATGGTGCTGGGGCGTGTCTGCTGCCCCGTGTGCTCTTCATGAAATCGCACTGTCCCTGTTTCACTCTCTGACCATTCCCAAGTCCAAGCAGGGCTCCTGCTGCTGTACCTTTTGAGAAAGAATCTCCTATTTCTCTGATAGCATTTTAATTGAAGTGGGTATATCTCATAAGAATGCATTACCTTGATTTAAAGTGTGGCTTTCCCCCCGTGAAGCAAGTGTCCAGCCTGTTATGCTGTCTGTAGTTCAGCAGTGAGGTTTCTCTCTGTACACCCTTTGGCGGAGCTCTTGGTCTATAGGCCGGCTGTCCAATATTTACATGGCCTGTTTGCCAAACAGACACCACTCTCTCGAGGGGCTGGCAAAGCGTAGTTTTATTTTCTCCCCTTCGGCCGGATGGCTTACGGATGTGTTTTTCTAAAGTGAAATTTTTCTGACCGGGTGGAGCTGAATGTGGATGAGAGTTCAGTTCTTTAATTACCACGCCACCTGCTGACCCTGAACGGCTTAGAATGCCCTGCCGTGTTTGTATTTTGGTCACTGGTATTTTCCACCCCTCAAGCCTCCTTCTCCAATGGCTATCCCTCCTCCAGCCACCAGGAATCGAGCAGCCGGCTTGTATAAACACAAATGTTGCCTCAGCTTGCACACCCAGAAAACAGTCACTTTCTGTAGCTTGAAGCCAAATGGAGAAAAAAAGTTAGCAGAGGGATAGTGGTTTGACTATAGGCCTAAGTGCTGACCTGGGGTCCATTCTGGAATACTGCATTAGAACATTTACTATTAATATTATTATTATTATCGTTATTTGTTTATTTTTTTAAACCGATTGCTGTTGACCACATTCTGGTTTAAGACTGTTTCCTCCATGAAAATACAAAAAATCCCAGTATTACACAATGTCAGTAAAAGAGGACCAAGTTTATATACTGTGCTGGTCTGCGTGTTGATGTTGATGTTACTGTTCATGGAGTCTCTGGGCACCTTGTTATATCTTGCTTACGAAGATAAGCACAATGGTCACTCATCTAGCGCTTTGCTGTATTGATCTGTAACAGTGAAGAGGTGTTTTTAACTTAAGAATTGCAATAATATCAAACTGATAATATTTAAGTGTGAAATTAAATTGCCATTATGTGAAATCGCCCCATATATATTGATTCAGTTCATTGAATTTAATATTGATGGAGAGCAGTTGTAGTGTATTGAGTGTACAGGAAGCTATCTATCAGAGTGGTGGCACGTATGATTTTTAGACAGTCTGTCATCTAGTGAGGTGATAATTGTGAGCTGTGTTCAGTGTTTGGGGAAAAATGTGGTGCTTCTGTGCACCGTGTTGGGTTCTTAGCTGGGTTAACACTCCATGGGGTTGTTATTGTGTCATGTCATCCTGGTAAAGGCGGCATTATTGGTCTGTGACTTTTGGTGCCAACGTGCGTGGGCTTCCTCCAAAACCTTCTGAGGGGGGCCACTAGGCCATAACTGTCACTTTTAAAAAGGAGAAGTGTGGGTGACTACTTTCTGTCAGGCCTGTTCCCCATCCTCGCCTCCACTCTGCTTCCTACTGACTCAGTGTACATCCTGGGATGTGTCCTTAGTGTTGGACACAAAGGGGCTAGAAAAATTCAGAATGAACAGTTTTGTGGAGAAGAGCATCCATGCAGCTGTGCCAAAAATATGAAACAGAAAAATAACTGACAATAAACAATGAACAATAATAACAATAATAAATGTTTAAGGAAGCATGAGAGTCTTCTTCTGTTTTTCATACTGAAAAGACACCAGCATCCCTAATGCACATGACTCCAGGTGTTTTAGAGAGCAAAACAGAAGTAAGAATGAAATATGCTGATAAGGAGAGTCAAAGTTTAACAGTGTTTTCAGTTCCAGACCTGAGAGCATGACTTAGAGTGTGGGCTAATTGCTATGGGGAGGGGTGAAGTTTTACAAAGTCAGGTCAAGTTTCCATAGAAGCTGTGTTGTTACTTTTGCCAAGGTCACCGTGTCCTTAGTGTCCTGTGAGTTATGAAACAGCGTTTTTCTGTCTCCTGGGTTGTTAGTTGCTGGTTCCTCAGATAGAACTGGGATTGTTTTTCCTTTATGATGTTTCCTTGAATGCTATGACTAGATGTAGCTTTTTCTTAGTCCTCTTGATTGTATAGTGGTTGATTGCCAGACGGACTTATGGATCCTCTATTCTATGTGTGTTGTTTTAAGTGGCGTCTGCTCGGGGCTCCACGGTCCTGTCTGAATGGTACCCCCGCTGCTGAGGTCTGGGCATGGCTCCACGGTCCTGCTCGGTTTCCTGGAGGATCTGTTCCCAGGGCTGAGCAGAGGAGGGTAAGGAGCAGATGTGAGCTGATCGTCTGCTGCTGCTGCTGCTTCATACTTGCTTTCCAGCCGCACAGCTGTCTCTCTTCAGGTGTTTTGTGAGTGTGAGAGTGTGGCAAAGGGGGAGATAAATAGCTAAGCTAAACCATGACCTCCTCAGGGGAATAAATATCGGCACTCATCTTTCTCACGCATAACCCTTGGATATGTGTCAGTGGTGGGACTCTTAGTCCACCTCAGACCTCAACTGAGACAAGAGTATGGATTTTTACCCCTATACAGTATAATGGAGGTTTAGGGCTCGTTCACCTATATAGTCTAACGGAGGCTTAGGGCTCGTTCACCTGTACAGTCTAACGGAGGCTTAGGGCTCGTTCCCATAAACCATACGATGCAGGCAAACTTCTTGATCACCCATGCAGATAAACCCCCTTTTTAGGATACTCTGGCTGTTCTTCATCTTGTATTTTTCCTCCAGTCCTCTTCCTGATGGGCACACATGGAGGATTTTACCACCACGCTTATTGATGGGAAAACATCACTGCAGTGTCAACAATCAGCCTGAGGCGGGTTAATGATCAGTCTGCCCTCTCAGTAATAATCCTCCCACAACTAAGGTGCTGGTTAATGCTGGAATAATTTTTTATTAGAGGAAATTCACGCTGCCTGTTTATCACACTTAGAGTAGAAACGGCTGTACAGACTTGGCTTGGTGGGGGGCAGGTTGCCAGGTACTTTATCTTGCAGTATCCAGCTGTCACCTTGAATTGCTTTAATAACTTCCAACTGTCCATCTCTGAACTGTTTATCCTGGTCAGAGTGGCGCCCATAGACAGTCATGTTTTTGGAAGCATGGGAGGAGACCTGCCCCCCCCCCTGAGCTGGGGTATAGGTGCGAGTCTGACGCATCAGCGCTAACCTGAGTGCCACTGAGTTTATGAAGCTGTTATGAAGCTCCGCAGCACCATGCATAAGTATGTGGAATAATGAAGCATTTTTTGTGCATTCGTTGAGATTTGATAGAAACCTATTTTCTCATATTATTGTTTCAAAAAATGTATTTGGCGCTTATTCCACAGTAGAGATATGTATTCCTAGTGGGCATTTCAGAATTTGACAGAGGATGTTCAGATCTTATCAACAGTGAGTCACGTATTAGGCCGAGTGCCGGCTGATTTCTGCACCTAAACTCGCAGCAGAGGCCCGGAACTGATCCCAGATGGCATGGAGGGAGGGGGAAAGTTGTAAACGGAGGGCTGAGAGCCTCCGCTGTGCCCACCAGCACTCCCAGGGAGCCGGGAGCGATGGAGAGGCCTGTGGATTAACTGGGCCCACAGTGGATGCCTCTCATCCAGTTTGCTCTTTCACTGGATTAATTGGAATTACATATTGTTTGTTGTTGCTAGTGCTTTTGAGGGGACCATCCCAGAAACCTTCATCGTAAAAGTTTGTCGTTAACCTGCTGCCTCTGAGGAGCCGGAGCAGGAGCTTCTCCTCATGATTTATGCTGCCCTGGAAAGTGACAAATACAAGATGTTACAGGCCCAGAGTTAAATGATGGCGAGAGTGAGCTCTGTCTGAACACCATGTGACCCAGAAGCACGTGGGGCACATGTGAGTCACGGATAACCTCACACTCAAGTGTTCAGTTTATTTTCAAAAAATCATAATTAATAATTGGTCATCTGTCTGCGTAAATCACTCAGTTACTGTTTGTAAAAATCACACATAAATGAGCCATTTCCCAGGAATGTTGCATGTACTACACAAAATACACCCTTGTGCAGATTAATTAAACCAAATTCTTCATATCGACATTTCAATATATAATATGGCCTCCTCTGTTTTTTGAATGTGATTTGGCATAGCATCCAACAATTATAAAGCGGTCTTTGATGATCTTGGGGTCCCAGTACTGTACTTTGAATTATGCCTGAATAAGCTTATCTTTTGTGGTACCTTCCATTCCACAAAGGTGTTGCTTGCAGATTGGTCACAGATTCTTTATGGAGTTTAAATCCGGGCCAGTAAAGAACCTCAATTTTCCTCTCCCCATTTTTGACACAAGGCACAGGCTAGATCATGCTGAAAGATGGTCAATGATGAAATTTCCTAACCCATTGAAAACATGACTCATGAAGGCATATTGTTGGCTTTCTGGAAAGAGACTGAAAATCACGTTTCAATTAATTTGCACAAGGGTGTACAGTTTCATTGTGAATACTCTGAAGAACGCAAGCCAAGCTGGCTTTTAGCTCGTCTGACTTCTTTGGGATGCCTGATTGTTCTTCCTTGTTCTTTTGGTGACTTAAATTTGACCAGCATGTCAGCATGGAGTGACGTGGTCCACAGGCAGAGGGTGCTCACTTTTCATACCGGCTGATAGACAGCATTTCTGCAGTGACATGCACGCAGTGAGCTTCCTTAAAATCAGGGCAGCACTGGGCTTTCTGCATCCTCCATTCTCTGCAAATCCCCAGGCCCCGCTCAGGGGGGCATAGCCAGCATTTTCATGGGGTGTGTTACACTGGGCTCGGATGTCACTCCCCCGTGCTCTCTCCGTTACTTGGGCACCCTGCTTGGCGCAGTGTGCAGGCTTCCGTAACCGGCCGTACATTTATAATGGGCTCCGTTCCGGATTCTCTTATTGCCGATCGATAAGTCCTAGTCAAGGTTGTTCCAGCAAAGACGGGGCTACAGATCTGTGTGAGCTCGCCAGATGTGGAATCAGCGTAAGACAATCTAACAGTATAGCTTAGCTTATCTGGGTAGGCAGAATCGCTCTGGCTGTATTTCGTTTTTTATTTTTTTTTATTTTAAGGCTTTCATCTTCTAGAAGAGAGAATCTGCAGTAATGCTACGTTGACAGGCCGACGGATTCATGCCTTCCTCTTGACGTATTGAGCGTTTGGCAGAGGCTCTCCCGGGTTTCGGGGCACACGCGCCTCTTTCCGTCACAGACCGGCTGGGCCGCCGATGCGGGCACCTTCGTGGTCCTTCTTTGTGTCCTGTGCCAGGTTTATTGGCACTTGTGCCCGCAGTAGGACCCCCTGTGATGATGAGCAGCATGTGCACTCATGTAGCCCTGCTAAGGGGGTTTGTCTGCGCCGAAAGGCCAGATGCTTCCTGACACAGGTTCTTGTCATTTAGTCTTTTATATCGATCATGTTAAAGGACTTGCTTAATCTGACTCAATATGGTATTAAATTAGCATTAAGACCCCAGAATTTTGATTACAGGGGCTCAGTGGCAGTACTGCAGTCTCATACCTCCAAGGCTGCTGGTTCGAATCCCACTTCTGCTCTGGTTCTCCAGTCTCCTCTCACAGTCCAAGGACATGCAGGCAAAGTGGCTCTAGATGATAACTTTGAGAACCTGTAGGTGTTTTGTCATTTTGTGTATTTTAAATTAACAATGTACATACAATACTATGTACAGTACCTGTACAGGCAATATTACATACATTTTTGGAAGAAAACTTTTGGAATATCAAATTTCTCTTTATAAGGAAAAATAATTTTATTTCTATAGGAAGTTAAGCATATCACCCTTAAAAATCAAAAAGCATACAATCACAGCACAGTAAGTGTAAGTAGATAGATAATCAATATTACAAACCCAAGACAGTGCGGAATGTTTTTGGTGCAGCAGACCCACATAGATGGGGTGAAAAAAAGTATTTTAATAAAGTACATGACTGCTTTTTAAAAATGAAATACTCTCTTTATTAACAGTCACTATCAGTTTAATAATAGCAGTGGCACTGATAAGGAAACCAACAGTTTACATGACCCTCGCAGTTACACGTTAAAGCAGGGTTCTTCAAATCTGGACCTCGATTCCAAATCCAGGCCTTGTTTTCAGTTCTCCCAGGTAGTTATTTATATAATTACTGATTCTAATTGGTCAGAGGCTTCACACCTGACTGACAGGTAACGGACGGCTGGAAAACCAGCAGTGCTCGGACCTCGAGGACCGTGATTTGAATAACCCTGCACTAAAGGTACGCACACATTCCACACCAGACATTATACAAGTACGACATTTACAATTAACATAAATACACAAATGAATTTACACCATTTAAAGATGAGCGCAGTGTGGTAAAAGCATGCGGACTGCTGACCAACCCCATGGAGTCACGTTATGTCAGCCTATTGTCGCCAGTGGGTGGGATCACCGCTCATACAGTGTCGTATCGCTAAAATGACGATCACTTTTGAAGTATGTGGCTACCTTTAGCCAGGAGGTGGATAATTTACAACATCTGCTGATGTATAATGAAATTCAAATTCTTGTCCTCGAAAAAAAACTCTGTCTATTATTCGCGCCAGTAGACACTGGAAAATGACAGGCATATCGTAATTACCGTGGTTCACATGTTCGATAATGTACTGTGTACTGTTACACCCTTAGTGTATGGGCCCTGTGGCCCTCTGATGGACTGGTTCCTGTCCAGGATATCCAGTACCTGGGCTGGGCTTGGCCCAGTGTCATTCTGTACTGGACAAGCTGTCATGGACCTGGGCTTTAAGCAAAGTAATTCTGTGTCATTTAACAGATTTTTGTGTTAAGCAAATTGGGACTTGCCAAGAATAGCAGGTGAGCCCTGCTGTTGCTGTGCACGCCTTCCGGTTACGGCACGGCCCATATCAGCGTCTAAACAGGCGTTTGCTGTGTCTCTCGGCAGCTACTGAGCCGCGGTGACGGTCACACCGTGTCCTTGCCCTGACCCACGCGGATGGTGTCCACTGTGGCCGTGTTTTTCTGCTCCAGAGGGTTGTTGGTGGAGCAGGTGTCATAAAGGGGGAGGCAGTCATCCTTGATGGGGGGGGTATTGTCTGCTGAGGCATTCGCAGGGAGAACAATGCAGGGTCAGGTCAGGCAAGGTCATCGTGCGGAAGGGAGCGGGCACCAGAGCGGGACAGGGTGATGCCAGGCTTGGGCTCGGATACAGGAAACAAAGCCATTGAGTGGATGACTCTAAATAAACAGGAGGAACCCCGGGCTGGGGGCAGGAATGTCGGCGCGGTCTTTGGGGATTGGGGGGGGGGACAGTTTCCATTCCTCTCCCTCCTTCTAAGAGGTGAACAGAAAAACAACAACACGGGGATTCCTGCACAAACAACGGTTAGTAACAGTTACTAATAGCACTAACTTTCGAGCGGGAAACACCTCTGCGGCCAGTGGCAAAGGCAGATGGGATTGACAGTCCGTCAGGGACGCTAACGACACCTCCTGCGTGCCCCTCTTGTATGCGTGACGTGCCTCTGCCCTCCCCCGTCTCACTTCAGATGTGCACTCCGGCCAACACGCCCGCCACGCCCCCCAACTTCCCCGACGCGCTGACCATGTTCTCCCGCCTCAAAGCCTCCGAAAGCTTCAACGGCAGCAGCGGCAGCTCCGTGGCCACCTCCCCTCCGCCAGGGACCGGGCAACAGGGACTGTGGACACAGGGACAGGCGGTCTCTCAGGCGCCCCCTCCTGGCTGGCCCGCTGCGGTCACTCAGCAAGCCTCCGCTGAACAGAAGGCCAGCGTTGTCATGGAAGCTGAGAGATGAGGGCCTGGACACTGGGGGTCTCTCACTATACTGGGGGTGGCGGGGAGGGGGCTGGACAGTGGAAGGGTTGGGGAGGGGGGTAAGGGGCTGGTGGATTTTCTGTCCACTTTTACTGGTAGGGAATCTTGGAAGGTGGGTATGGGCTCCAAAATCAAGAAGAGTGAGCAACGTGGACTGTTAAGGGGAACAACCAACACACAGCTACTAAAAGGTAAAGAAAAGATGCGCACATTATTAACTTCATCACAAATGCCATGGGAGGTTTGTTAGGTTCCATTTGATCCCTAAAAATGCATTAATGAGAATTGCAAATGGAATTACAAAAGACTCATGTTACATCTCAGCCCAGGATCGCTTCTCGTATTGTTTGTTAAATATGTCTGTGGCCTTGATTGGCCACACGCTTTTACCAAAACTCACATCTCACTCCGGATCTGGTATCTGTGCCGAATTTCAGGCCTCCACTGCCAGCATCTGCGCTGCGTGAGGAGTGTGGCTGTCGGTCACTGATGATTATGTTTCTTGTCACTCTTCATCCTTAATGCATGTATGGTGTCTTGTCTTTTCACACACCTGCATACATACCACTCAATGAACCAACCCAGACACATTTTCCACCCCAGTGGCGGATGGGACACTGCTTACCTCAGCAGTCACCTGACTTTATTAGCCAATTAGGGATCTCAGCTGTTAATTACAACTTTCATGAAACTGGGTTTAAATAATTACATCTGATTTACTTTATTCAATAGAAACATTGCAATGAATTTATGAACATGGACTTGAAAAATAAAGTCTTTTTGCAGAATTATTCTAAATCATGGTTTATTTTACATTGGGGGCATTTACATTTTTTCCCCCGGGGGAATGACAAAGTAAGGTCAATTTTTAAAAGCTACAAAAACAGACTACTATTAAAGTTTTGAGCAGACTTTACTTTTTTGCATGATATGTTTAAATGTTTACCGTCTGTTTTAAGCAAACACACATGCAAATATACATCAGTTTCTCTTGTTTTCCAATTTACTTTTTAAGAGTATTACACTTAAATTTTGAATATATGCTCTTGAAATGAGGGAAGATATTCTACAGGGAGATGGCGAGCAGAGATATGCAAATTCAGGCTGGGATTCATCACATTTTTTACTGTCCTGTTATTAAAACAAGTGTTATGTCATTTTTCTCTGAAGAGAAGACAGAGTGAACAATTCAAATGAGGATTAATATTACTGTCCTTTTGATCTGATTTTGTTCATTTTTAAATTTTAAAAGAATTTTCTAATCAAAATATTGTAGGATCATCTGTTCCTGAAAGTTTTTTCCATGTATGTTTTTTCTCCCTCTATGACTGTATTGATACCATTCCCACAATATTTGTGGACTACCTGATAATTAACTTATCATATTTGTGTTTTTAAATAAATATTTTATGTCCAAATCCTGTGCCTGTTTTCATTCTCTACATTAGCAGAAGTTCCCTCATCTTACAAACATTACAGTAAACAAATCAACCCACACCTGCCTAGACAGCCTGGGAAGAGGACGACATTTTGCAAGAATAGCCGGGACAGCAGATAGAACCACAAGATATGGGACTGAACAGGAAACGGTCTTTATTTTGGGGAAAATATTTTTATGGGGAGCAAGGTAGGGTAGGAACAGGACAGATAGCATACATTACATTATGCATTTCAGCATGGACTGATTTGACAGCATCAGGCCAGGGCTGAGGAAACTGCTGCGATGCCAGAGACAGTGAAACATATTTATAAGAATGGAGATCCTGCCAAGTTACTAGAAAATGCCAGTATTACCCATCAAGGGCATGAGCATCAGTCGGTCATTAAGCAGGACATCAAACCTGGTCACCTGGTTCCCCTTTTCAAGACTCTTACCTCCCACCAGAGAATGTTTCTTCACCTTTTTATTAAATATTTTTTGCTTATTATTATATTGAAATGCCTTTTGTTAAATGTAGTTTAACAAATGACCATTACTTGCATATATGACTTTCTATTTCTTTTTAAAGGCCTCGTGAAGGGGTTACTAAGAGTTTAAATTAAAGGAGATCACACTGATTTTGCAAATCCCTGCCATCTTGCCACTGAGCTGTTGCTGAGGTTCATAAGACCCTCCCCTCCCCCAGCTGTCCAGGAGCTGATGTCATGAAGAAAGACAGCTGTGCAGCCACAGCCTCACACATTGACTGCTCACGACTACTAACCTTAACTACCCACATAAGCCTAAACACATATTCAAAAAATTTGGGAGCAGTTTTTAAATTATTATTTGTAATGGGAACATCATATTTTAAATACGCTTTAAAAAAGGCTTTTCTTCAGTGTTCCACCATTTTCCCCATTTCTGCAGTGAAGCGCTGCTTCAGGGTACTTCACTACAAATTGAGCATAAGCTTTTTACCCGGCTGGGGCAGCAAACTGTACACACAGATGCTCTGAAAAGCAGCTGCACAGTGACTCAGACCTGATTTATCTCTCTGTGCTGCAAAGCACAGCTTCCGTTTTTGAGCTTACAAAGGTTAAAGCTATAATAACTGACAAATTGATTCAGTTTCATGGAGCCATTTGAGGTACTGCTCAACGTTAAGGCCAAAATTGATGGTAAGGTTTGCTCTAGAGAGACCCAAAGAGAAGATTTTTTCTAGTCTCTTCTCTTGGCCACATTTCACAATCTGCCATATATGTCCTGCACCTGTAATTGAATCACTGTAATAGAAACTACAATGACAGCATTGGCTTAAAACTTTACTGCTGTCAATTTTGTATTACGGATACCTTCCTGGCCCCAGCTTTGCACAAAATGCACTTGTGACTCGTGTTATTTTTGTAGTTCTATCTCACGAGCCACGTGAGGAGATTGACCTCAGCAAGAGTCGGCTGTAAGCTAAAACCTTTAGTCTGGCGATGTCCCACTGTCCCTGCAAATGGTACTTAACCTGCATTATTTCAGTCTTCTACATGACAGGTCAGACGATCGTGTATTTGGCTCACAGCCATATCTCATTCCCTTGACCTTCTGTTAGGGTCACGGCATACAAACAGGGAAGTGCTGCGTCCCTCCTGCTACATCAGAGGGTGTCTCAGTGGTGCCGCGTCTCCCTCCTGCTACATCGGAGGGTGTGTCAGTGGTGCCGCGTCCCTCCTGCTGCACCGGAGGGTGTGTCAGTGGTGCCGCGTCCCTCCTGCTGCATCGGAGTGTGTGTCAGTGGTGCCGCGTCCCTCCTGCTGTATCGGAGGGTGTGTCAGTGGTGCCGCGTCCCTCCTGCTGCATCGGAGGGTGTGTCAGTGATTCTATGTCTTGCCTTGGAGGCCAGGAATATCATGGATGATGCCTGTACTATACATAGTAACAAGCCCATTAACTTACTCAGTTATATCAGGGCTATAACCTTCACATCAATCTGCATGACTAGTAGCTGCCGCTCTACCGACCCGGCAAACCCCACTGACGAAAACTGCTGTGCAAGTCATCAATATGAGGTATGAACTACTGTCTATTAAATATTTATATGAACTGACTGGAGTCTGCATATTAATAAAACAAGACAAATGTACAATACCGACAGTGCAAAAATGGGACGACAGCGATGTTGTTCACGTGAGCGAGAAATCTCGACCTAAAACACCTTTGTAAATATCTTGCTGCATAAGCTATGTTTATCACACTTGATAAGGCCGCTACATAAATAACATGATGGCTGTCACAATCACATCATTCTGTGCTGTAGCGAAACAGCCGGAGCTGGATCTCGACACAGCGTCTTGTCCTAATGGGAATGTGGATGGGCTGTCCTTAGGTATTGCTTTCCCATTGGCCCCGACTGGGTGGCAGCCTTGGAAATGAGTTCTTCTGCAGAAACGTGGAGAAGCTATAGCTCCTCAAAGGACTCCGGCTGGGGAGCAGGAGCCAGGGCACTGGGAACAGGGAGGCATGGAGGCGAGGCTGAAGGTGTATGCGGAGCTGTCCGACCTGCCGATGGGGAAGGAAAGACACCACAAGAAGCAGGACAGCCCTCTGCATCGGCAGATCGCCAGCCAACCCCAAGTCGTATAAGGTTTGTGAGGTCACAGATACACGGTGAGTGGTGGCCAAGCCTACGACGACTGCCTTAAAAACGCAGGGAAACGCGCAAAGCCATAAGCATGCGTTAGTCCGGGGCCACTTGTGGGCAACGTGTCGCTCTGACATGCTCTGGCATCCTGTGCGCACAGCAGCTAATGTGTCAGGGCTCTGGGGCGTCGGCTTCACCGTCAGCTAAAGGTCACGCATAGTTAATACGCCGGCACTGTGTGACAAGCTCTGTGCAGTGAGGACTTCACCTGAAGTGAAACGAGTGCAGGTAAAATCGCAGGTGCTGCGGCGGGAGAGGGAGGAGAGGAGGGGAGAGGAGGGGAGAGGAGGGTGGAGGAGGGGCCATCGTTCATCAGCATTCTGCATTACTCAGGCAGTACTCCATCATACTGAAGGCATAAACACAAGCATGCCAGCAACAAGATACCTTGGCAAGGGCGGCACAGGCAGGCTGGCATTAGTTAAGCGTGTCTCGTCACATAGGCCCCTGCAACTCTTTTTCAATTGGAGAAATGCTATTGGTATATATTGAAAAGTTCCAAGTGAATCATAACTAAACCCCCCCCACCCCAAAAAAAAACATTTTGTTTGGCACTTCCCAGCAACCCTCATTGCACCGTATACCCTCTCCGCCTTCACAGCTGCACTGAGTACAGCTGCAGGGTGAGTGAGAGTGATTTCAGTAACGCGGCTGCTGATTGGTCCCGTGAAACAGCGAGAAGGTAGGGGGGTCAGCGCCCGCTGGAGGTTTCCCACTGCATTCACATGTCCCCCCCACCTTCCAAAAGGCTGACTTTGTTCTCTGTGCCAACTCCCTCGTCCATGTGTGCTTATGCCAGGACCAGTGACATATTTGCATGTTGGTGTAAGAATGTGTCATTGGTAAGAAGAGGCCAGGATATTTGGTGATAATGGAACTTTGATGTATCTAATGCCTGAGCTGTCACTTCTGAAGAGCATGTTTCAGCTACCGGCTCTGTGTAAATGATCTCTGTGTAGGCTATTGTTCCTCAGACAATAGTATATGTAATAAATGAGAATTCAGTGCCTGAATTTAGTGGCTGTTTACTGGTTTGTGTATAAGCACTGATGACACTGGTTATCTATTCACAGGTGTGAGCATAGAGGCTGTGACACTGAGCCAGTCTCCTGTCACTGTATGTGGGACATTATGCTACATCAGAGTGTCTATTGGCATTTATTTTAGCCTTTTATTTTCTTGACATTGCCCCAATTATGAAGTCATAATCTGGTGAGTAAATTTGCCTATTTTCACATGTATATTAATCCAAAATTAAGCTTATGAAATCTTAAACTTCAGCGGGAAATATTTCAACTTCAAAGTGTGCTATTTCTAAGAACCTCTGACTTAATTCTCCTACACCGGTCTGTTGATGGAGTAGTTGGATGTAGTTTTCACACTTTCCCGGTCAGGCTGTTTTTTTTTCCATCTGATGGAACACGGAGGGACATGGAGCTGATGGTCACATGGGGTGGTCATGCCTGGGTACTGAGATGTGGTAGTGGGTGGGTGGGGCCACAGAGGGAGCAGCCCTGGGGATCTTTCAAGGCAACGGCGCCACAGAGCAGCGTTTTGTGGCCAGCTGGGATCTTCTCATGTGTCGGGGTTTTGATTCCCTCCTCATTACTCACAGCGAGGCTCCAGCTGTTCTCCGCAAGCAGGAAGTGGCTGTCAATGTTTTCATTCAGAAAAGGCCCAGACAGAAAAGCACATTGTGGCCATACGCAATGGAATTTGCTCAGAAGAATGCAGCAAATGGGAGCTAGTCTGTCTCGGGCATCTTAGAGAACTAAGCTACACAGGGCTCCGGCCCCCCAGGACTGGAGTGACACCCCTGTCCTATAGAGAGGGAATGGTAATATTTTATATGCATATCATTGATTTACAGAGATACCAGATAGCCATGCAGTTATCAGTTTTGTTTATGGGGGTTCAGTGTGTGGCTCTGTGGGTTTGGACTCAACGATTAGAAAGTTGCCGGTTGAAATTCAATGGCTTGCAGAGTGGTTTCAGCACTGGGCCCTCGAGCAAAGCTCTTACCCCCCAAGGGCTCCAGGGACACTGTCTGCCCCCGGTCTCTTATCCTGGCTGGTATTTCACTTCAGACAAAAGCATCTGCTAGATAAACAAATGTAAATGTGCTGTGAATCTGATTGTTCAGGAACAAAGGCACAGGACATAAATAGCTATAAATTATCACTCACAACAAACAGCAGTAATGCCCTCTAACTCGATAACACCCTTTTATTATCATTTTCACTCTAGATTTCTCTCAGCCAATAACGCCTGCTCATATCTGCCATCTGCTGGTGGAGCTGAAACGCTCCAGATTAAGCAAAGAGCCCCTGGCGAGGGTATCAGGGCCATTCCTTTTGGGAACAAGGCAATTCGATTTTCACAATCTCTTCATCCATCTCCTACCCGCATATCCTGGTCAGGGTGGCGGGGGGGATCCATGAGTGTATGGAGCCATTCCAAGGCAGCACAGTGCAGAAGGCTGAGATACACCGTAGACTGCGTGCCAGCCCATTACAGGGCATACACCCACGCACACACGCACACGCACACGCACAGATTAGGTATCTAAATCTTTGTGTGGACTCTCCATTCATTTCTAAGGGCATAACCCCTAACCACTTATAATTATTACAACCTTAAACATAACCGAGCAGAATACAAGACTTTTGGCATTTTTCGTTTTTTGATTGCATTCAAAGAATTTTATAAAATTGAGTTTCCCCATGTGGGGACCGAAAAATGTCCCCACAAGGTCAAAATAACGGGTTTTTAAAATTAACATTACCACAAACGCAATCAAATATGTCTTTTTTAAAGACATGCTTTTTTAGTAGCAAATAGAAGTCTTTTAAAAGACAATATTCTCTAAAAGTACAAGGTCTCATTAGTTCTGTACAAAGGTGGGTTTAAAGTATTAAATCCACTGTCACCGGGGGCCAATCAGAGGCCAGCAGTCAGAGTGACCAGGTCTTATTGGTGTTTCTTGCAGTCCAGCCTTCATTAACACGCCACTGTGTTACAGAGTTACGTCCCGCAGACGCATATCGACATCCATTCCTAGCTTTGTGAGTCTGCACAGAGACCTCATGAGACCTGTAGGTGTGGCTGCAACATCAGCCCCAGGAGCTGAGGCAAGCTGGACTGTAACGCAAAGTACAGCAGTACTTTGCCTTAGAGTGACATCTATTGGTGAATTTATGAACAACAACAGACTATGAATGAATGCCTATCCACCAGCCAGATCTCAGTACAATGCTCTACCACTCTGGCATGCATTGGACAGGGTAAGAGCTAGTGTTTTAAACATAAAAAGGTCATTTTTAAAAATAATCATTATTATAGCTCCATTTCTCTGTGAGCACAAGTAATATAATAAAATGCAAATTTTGTTAGAAAAATCAAAAATGATTACAGCAAAGATTTGATTTTACTGCAATTAAAAGGTAAAACAGGTGATAAGTTCTAGGACACCGAAGGAAAATTTGCTGTAACCTTAAAGGTGGACACAATTTTTATTTAACTTGACAGCCGAAGATTGAAATGATTGATCAAATGATTTAAAATGTAATCAGACTGTTATAATACTAGACTCTCACTACTGCCTTAAAATCTATAAATAGATTAAGGGTTCCGCGAGCTATTATGAAAGTTAATGAATGGAAGCACCAAAAGCAGTGATTCTCAACCCATAGGTTGTGACCCAAATTCGGGTCACGCCAAGTTCAGAAAGGGTCATGAGGCAGAGTTAGAAAAGTAAGAATTTTAAAAGCAGCAAGCTCCTATGCTGATCCACGATCAGATTTACCAGCCCAGTTGTAGAACATAACATATAAATGGATCTTAGGTCTGCGATTGCTTAGCGCAAAACTAGTGAACGCTCAACCAATCCAAGAAGCCAAACCACAGATGCTTAATTTAAAATTCATTGGCCCATCCAATCAGGTTTGTGCAATAGGCATTCATTGGCGTAAATTTCAGAGTGCACTGCGTGCTTGATCTAGTGTTAATATAAACCTAAACTTTACCTAGGTTACCGACTGAGCTAAGATGGTAAAGACTGGGTCGCAGCGCAAAAAGGTTTAGAACCACTGACCTAAAGAGATCTGGAAGGGGTTAGCCCTAATCATAAAGCCGTGAGGGGTTCGGGACGGGGCTAAGCCTGACCATGCTTTCACCTGTATTAATGAAGCAGTAGATTAAGAAATACTTGATAAACCACAATGCCTGTTTTTTTTTTTTTTCTTTCTTTCAAATTCAACATTTTATTAATAATAAATCAATGCAGTTGACATAAGAAAAGCAAATAATTTAATCATGCGTTACTGTAATTTAATCACTTTGGAAATTTACCGTTTTATGTATTTATATTCCATATAAATTCAGAAAAATATAAACGCGTGTAACTCAAAGGTTAACATTTGTCATCAAACTGTTTTATAATGAACAAACCTGTGTCTAAACCTTTAACAGATGTCAGTGCATTTTTATTAAGATGTTTGTTCATTTATTTATTTTGCATACGTTACATAATTCATCCCAAGTCTTACTGATGTGTAAAAATAGCCCAAATAAGGAACCATTTTAACCTACCACAGGCATATAGTCCCGTGTTGGAAAATGAGAATATTTTACAAAAACATACCAGTATTCTCACTGCACATCACCAGCTTTATTGACAGAAATGAGTGTATTATACTGTATATGTACATATATATATAAACAAACACACACACTAGACAGTGTATTCATTTCAAATATTTACAAAATAGAGCTCATGAATATGCCACATATAAAAATATGCATTACATCTATATAAATATATACACTGTGTGCAAAACATGGCGTACAAACAATAAATGAGACAGCATATGAAAAAGACTTTAAAATGATGATCAGATAGATCTTTGATACCTCCTTGGAATAGTTTTCAATAGTTTTATTCCTGCAACAGAAAATACTGAAGACGTGGAAGACTCAGAAAATTCACAAGGAAGGACTGACGAGCAATTACACAGAGAAGGCTGACAGAAATACCTCAGTTACACTCAATCAGCTTTCAGCTGAAACTGTCATATTATCCTTATGTTCTTAAGTTAAAGTGAGCCTCCTTAAAGCTAGAATTACGACATAAGCAGTGTGCTTCAGAATAACTACCCTAAGATTGCCATGGTGTGGCAATGCACTGATTTCACATCCAGTGCACTGCCGATCCCTGCTGCTCATACCTTCACTCAGACATTCCTGTCTTTTGACACCCAGATCATAAATGGCTGACTCAGTGTCAGGGGACTGAAACACTGAAACACAGAGATATTTTTCCCCCTTTTGTTTGGCCTATTTGGCTGCCAAGTGGTTCTTACTATAAAATATCCATTTAAAATAAAAAAGTAAATCTATGTACATCTTCACCATCCACTGAAGTACACAAAAATGATTGTTCGCCTCAACAAAACCACAGAAAATAAAGGCAGATAAGGGACATCGCTAATCTACCACCCTCTTTGGCAAAATGTATGGACTATATGATTAGACTCCCACTGAGTTCTGTCCTCCACAGATAAATGGCTCCCCCTACTGTTGGGGGTATTTAACTCAATTACACTGACTCCTACTTTCTTCTTTTACACTCCTACCCTCAGACCTAAAACCAAGTGCCACGTGATTTAGAATGTGTATTATTAATCAGATGAGAATGATGTTCTATATTTGGCACCAATCCTACTACCCAGGGAGATAAGTGTAAGTAGAACTTAATGTCATACATGTATCTCTTAGTACTTTGGAGGGCCATGGCCCCTACTCCCCCAACACCCATATGATTTCTGAAAGCTGAACATGAGATTTTACATAAATACTGGGGCGCGAGTTCCAGTAAAAGGGGTCTATCGAAGCCCATGATTAATGCAGCGATGCACATAAGCTTCAGAGCAAATAGCTTCACCGTGATCCTCTGGGATGCTACAAAAACATGGCTGCTACAGTCGATACCACATCTCTAGCATTCTGTATGTAGTGACCTCACCAAGCAGTAGGCGTGAGGAGAGCATGAGCCCCAGCATGCAAGGCAGAAAGGAGAGAAACACGGCACACCCACTGTGGCAACCATGCTGCCCCTCTACTGTGTTGCTTACTTTGTTATAAGCACAGGAAAACTGTGCTGTGGGGGAGATGGACACATATCATGATATAATCTCTGGTGTTCGCAAGGCAAGTGGTACTACTGCTTAACAACACTGATTAATGAGGCTGATCCCTTGTGTTTCTCAGTGTACATCTGACTATTCTAAACTTCAAATGAATTACCCCTCCCCCCACCCAATAAACACAATCTCGTTGACAGTTATCAACTCTGGTAGAAAGTCTGTGATTCTCATTTAGGTGGGCACTGATGTTAAGTGCAACAAAGTAATAATCTCTGTAATTTGCATGCCACAACAGCAGATGGCGCCAGTGAGAGGACTTAACAACAGAGCGCTACATTCATCCAAGTGTCCTAATTTGTTTCTCCATCTGCATTTCCATCAAATTTCAGCAAAACATTGTTCTGCAGCATGAATATAAGATGTGCAAAATGTGACATGAAATATATGGTGCACACCGATGCCTTGTGCAGGTTATTAATCTCATGCATTTTTTTTTGGTAACCCTTACTGGTATCTGTGCCCAAAACAATGAATTGGTCCAGAACCAGCTGTAGAGACACCAATAACAGGTTTACTCTACCATCTTTGAACTCTTGCGCTCACACAGACATATACACAGATAGACAAAACAGGGCAGACAGACATGTGCGTGTGCGCACGCGCGCGCACACATACACACACACACACTGTATCTCATTTCACAGCATCACCAAATTTTACAGAATATGCGACTCTTCCACATCCTAGATGTGCATGTATCCAGTAAAATTCCAGCAAGACTGTACAGCAGTTAAATGTTATAAAAAAATCCCTACTCAAATCACCCTCATCATAATTTACTTATTGAAGTATTTACACAATAGACTGCTTGTTCAATTTACATGTATTTACATGATGGTCAAAGCTTTCATTTTTTTGTACAAGGACAGATGGCTAAAGTAAGCTCCTCCGACAGTGATCTTTTCTCAAACAGCTAACCAAACGTTTGCTGGCTAAGCGAAAGCAGACGTGTACCTCTCTTTCGACCATCTCAGGAGCTCAAGAGGGTTCCTTAGACGCCAGTCACAACTCGATAGTGATGTGGTGCAGAAGCGAGGATGTATCCTCTAGGGGAACGCAAAGCGCAGCCCCCCGACATCCTGCTAAAATGCAGCACCGATTTTCCCTCTGACCGCCTGAATCGCACATACATGACCAGATGGAGGCAATGTTTGTGGGCCGAGGAAGAAATTAATGCGCTATGTTTTTTCAAATGTGAGATTCTTTCATATGCGACAGATTAATTCAACTCCTCATTCTTCTCTGTTATGCAAAAAAAAATTAAAAAAATCAAAGAAATCACCTGTTTCCAGTTTCTAAAGAGTGGGAGGAGCTACACTAGTGTCTGTGGTCTTAGTGTTGAGCACAGAGATGACAGTAAGCAAGTGGGCTGCCAGCAGCAATCAGTGGGCTGGAGCAGGATGAAGGAGCCTTCAATGTCAGTCAGATCCCTCTGAGGGGGGCAGCGGCAGTGCTCACCCATACTGATGTGGTTAAATGTGCCAAGCTGTTTGCTATAGGGTATGTGGGTAAGAGAAGGACCATTACAGTATGGATAAACAAGGAAGACAGCATAGTGTGATCAACCAGAAGGACCAACAGCCTTTCAAAATACCCTTCTAACTCACACATTCCACCTGCATTTTGACCGCTTTCATAGTGATATGTAGCAGCCAATGATCCCTTTGTTGCCACAGAATACAAAATTACAATAATAAAATCAAGAAATTCTTTCCAGCTGTTAGAGCACATGATTATGAACAATTTCAGATACCAGCACACCCCTGAAGGACAGCCAGCCGAAAAAAGGATTAAAAAAAAAAACACACACAGCAATCAAAATAAAGGTCAGTTAGTGGTGCTTAAGTAAAGAGTGTGTGGAAGAGTGAGTCCATCATCGGATTCCGCCGAACGTGGAAAGTGTGACCTCACAGGGCCTTAGAGTGGGACCCCCATTGTGAGCACATGTGACCGGCCCTCTAACTGCTAGGGATGCGTTTAGTGTCCTCCTTGGCTCAGGCAGTAACGGGAGGCGGCTACACGCTTCGTTTCACTGGGCATCCTAGAGGTGACGGGGCCTGTTCTGCATCAGTCCCAGTGTAAGTGGAGGTCGTGAGCGTCAAGTATGTCAGAGGATATACCCAGTGGCGTGAGCCCTCCCGGGGGCCCCGGCATGGTCAGGTCCAGCCACTCCATGTTGTCCAGATTAGCATCCTGGAGGTCAAAGGAGGTGGTAGGCACGGCGTCGGCAAACGTCAGTTCCGACGTGTCCATGGGAGAGTGAGGCTGTTCCAGCAGCTGGCATTGAAGCTCCTCCCCCAGTCCCAGCGTGTGGGGCTCGGGGTCTTCCGACAGAGTGCCGTCCAGAAGAGCTTCCAGCTGGTTGTCCGAGGCCAGCATGGCCAGGCTGGGTGTGGAGTCGAGGCTCATGGAGGCGGCTGGGGCCAGCTGCACTTGGGGCAGGGGGCGGGACAGCACGGTGTTGACAGGGAGGGTGGTGACGCTGGCTGTCACGGGCAGCACTTTCCTCACCGAGGGCAGGTCTTGTCGAATGAGGGGGGAGATTTCTGTGCAAGAAGCAAGACAAGACAATAAAAAGAAAACAGTCTGACTTTGAAGTTCTGCAAACAGTGATCCCTTATATTATAAACATCATGACAGGCTGTGTAGATCTACATAATATACTTAATGTTAACATTAATGTTTGTTTATTTCCTTCTCGGACCACATGGTGTTGAGGCGGGGCATGGCGCAGGTGGAAAAGGAGTGATGATCCACAAAGTAACTCACAAAAACGGGAGAGAAAGGGACCCCAAGGGGTCAAGAACCAAACAGGAAAAATAAGAATCAACTAAAAGAACCACAAATTAATACACTAGGGAACAGAGCAGGCACTTAAATACAGATAGAGATACAAGGACTAACAGGGGGCAGGTGCGGACCATAACAAAATCAACCAATAAATTGTGGAATAAATTACAAGTCCAGGAACTAGGGGACACTGACGAACACTGAGGGCTAACACTAGGAAAGACTAGTAACATAAATACAGGCAGAAGAGAATTAAACCAGGTGCAAGCTGGGTAAACCGTAAACAGGGACAAACATAACAGAAAAAATAACAGACACCAAGGAACCAGAAAGCAAAGAGTTCAGCCCGGGGAGAAATCTTAACCCTGCATGCCAGGCACATTTAACAAAGTTTCTTATAACAATGAACCCCATCGTACATGTGGCCTTGAAAATGAATAGCTAGAACATTTTGAAGCACTGGTTCATAATAAATCATACATGCTCAAATCTGAGGCACACAAGTGTTACTCAAAAGTGTTTTGCCACAGCTGAAAAACAGCACATGCTTACCTCCGCTCTCTATCAGGATATCGAACAGGTCATCCATTTGCTGACTGGTGACTGTAGGCATCTGTAACAGGAGACAGAGCACAGGATGCAGAGTGTAAATGGAGGAAGAATAGGCTTCAGAGTCACCTTGACATTTATAAAGAAAGACTTTGAATGTATAATTCAGAGCTAAGCATTTCCAGACAGACTTATTTCTCTAATATGATTAACGAGAGCATCGACAGTAACTATTCGCTATTGTGGACAAATTACCAAATACCCCAACACAGTCAATCCTTGAATTCTCTTCAGCTGAAAAGTGTAATGAGTTTGCATCTTTTTCCAACAACAAAATTAAAGACAATAGATCACTTATTTGTTCCAGCCCCTTAGGCAATGACACGACAACCATCTTACTACATAAGCAGAACATGGCTGTCATGTTTGAATATAATGCTATCAGCTACAAAACCCTGGAGGATTTAGTGCACCACCATAAACCATCTACCTGCTGTCTTGATAACATAAAATATTGTTAGAAAGGTTTGAAAACTGGGAAGGCCTATCAAGTAGAGTGTTGAGATGGGTCAAACCATATCTAGAAGGCACTATAGGCAGTTATGAGTCCAAACATACTACCATAAAGTATGAAGTCCCTCAAGGATCAATTCTGGGGCCCCTCTTATCTTTATATGCTCCCACTTGCCCAAATTCGTAAAGACAGCAAGTTAGCTTATCATAGCTTACTGGATTTATTTAGCTCTGTCACCAAATGACTGTAGTCCAGTAGATTCATTTAGTCTGTGCCTCAAGAAAATAAATTACTAGATGCAACAGGATTTCCTCCAATTAAACAAAGACTGGAATAATATTTTTTGGTAACAAAGTTGAAAGACTCAAACTGAATGCTTTTCTGGGCCTTAGGACTTTAAAGACTTCAGGTCAGGTTAAAAATCTTGGTATCATAATAGACGAGGACCTAAACTTCACAAACCACATCAAAAAGATAACTAAGGTGTCATTTTATCATCAACAATATATCCAAAATCAGAGGCTGTCTACCTAAACAAGACCTAGAGAAACATATGTGTGCTTTTATCTCCAGTAGACTGGAGTACTATAATAGTTCCTGCTCCCTCCTGGTCGACCCGTCTGGGGTACGGCGGCTAGTTTCTGTGCTAGTTGTGCACCTGGCCACTTAAATGGCAGCGAGAATGAGGCGTAAGCTGATAAAGCTCACCTGGGCGACAGTGGGAGCCTGCAGGCTGCGTGTCTGCTTGACAGCCTCCTCATAGCGGGGCGGGTCTTTGCTCTTGGGGGCGTGGCTGGAGAAGGTAGATGGCTGGAGGATGAAAGTGGGAGGAGAGGAGGATGGAGCCTGGAGGGAAGGCAGGGGAGGCTTTTCTTAATGGAACATTCCAGGCACGACACTGTGGATAACGTCACACATTCGGCATGTGTCGGCGTGCGGAGGACAGAGCAGTACCTTGCTCACGGGACCGTTGGGGAGAACGGTGGGGGGTCTGCTCTCCGGGGAGCTGTTCAGGAAGCACTGGGGTATTTCTTTCAATAGATGGTTCTGGTTGGCGCTGTACTGGAAACCAGTTTCTGGAGTGGTGCATAACGGAAAGGTCTGCAGAGCAATATGAAAAAAGGAAAAGTGGCCTGAAAGTGAGAATGGCCGAAGCGGGGGGGGGGTTCCTGATTCACGCGAGAGCAGTGATCTGGAAAAAACGATATGTTGCGAAAGTGCAAAGGTTGACTGGACAATTTAAGCAGAAAATAAAATAAGAACTGTGTCCCAACTCAGTCAGTGTGCCAACTTAGTGCTCTTGATAAGATGAACTTGAGGATATATATTTTTATTTACCCACTGTAAATAGAAATTAATATAAACATGTATCATAAATTACCTGTCGTTATTTGAAGTACTTCAATTCACAGCAATGACCACGCCTCAAGTTGCTTTAGGTATTAATACGGTTCATTTCAGGTAGTCTACAATATACAATGGCGGCTTCAAGGAACAGGCACATTTACCACTGAACTATCTGCAAGGCTTTGTTTAGATTCCGCTTTGATCATGGGGCTGGGTTGCGGAACAGGAACTAGAGGGCCGGCGGAGTTGGCTAAAGCCTGCTGAAGTGCCAGCAGCCGCCTGCGGGGAGAGACGCCCAGCCCTGTGGGCCGTTTGGCAAGTCGTCACCCAGGGTCCGGAGCCACCCACAAGTTTGGGACACGTCCAGCTAGCGTGTGTCGGCGAGTGACGGGTATTCAATCGGCAAACCGGCCATCGGCAGCCATTTCACAGGTTGGGAGGAGAGTTTAGGGACCAAAGTGCACACACTGCAGTTACATGTGCAGATTTGGGTACATTTGTTGATACCCTTCCATGACAAAAGAAGAACCCACAATTGTCTCTGAAATAACTGGAAAATGACAAAAGTAATTGGCACCCATCTTTACTCATTCCACATTTAATAAAAATCTGACTTTGCTTGAGATCAAGCAGGATATTTTAAATAACACAAATGAAAATAGCATGGCCAAAAATGATGGGTCTCTTAACCTAATATTTAGAAGCCTAATCAACTTTATGGTAATGAGCTACGACGTGGTTTGGCGGCAACCAGTCGGAATGTAGAGATGCTCTGCCAAAGAGTGTTCCACAGACCACAGGCGTGTAAACCTGTGTTCCGACCAAACAGTTTCCAAGCATCATCGGGTATAAACCGTGAGATAGAATACATCTCCAAACAGCATTTTTACCCTCTAGACACGGTAAAAAAATACCCGTTTAGGCAGTATAAAATCGCGCATTAAAAAAAACCCATATAGACTTGCATTTTTATACCAAGACAACACGGTATAATTGCACGTATTAAGAAGGTCTTTCAGTACAGAGATATACCTAATACTTTCTGTTCAAAGGTAAACGTTTCAGTCAGTAATGCATTATATTGGTTGCTGTATGATAACATTTGGGCTGTTAGCCATTCATGGGCACTGAGACTGAGCTCTCTGAAACTGGGCTGTATGTTTTGCTCCAGAATGTCTTGATAGTCTTCAGACTTCATTGTGCCCTGCACAGATTCAAGCTACTCCATGCCAGACACAGCAAAGCAGCCCCAAAACATAACCAAGCCCCCTCCATGTTTCACAGTCGGTCTTTTCTTGTAAACCTTCATATTTTTTTTGTCTGTGGACATAGAGATGATGTCACTTGCCAAAAGGCTCCAGTTTTGTCTGACATGTCCAAAGGACATTCTCCCAGAAACACTGAGGCTTGTTAATATGCATTTTAGCAAATTTCAGTCTGGCTTTTTCACATTTTCCTTTCCACAGTGGAGTCCGCCTGGGTCTTCTTACACTGAGCCCACTGTTGCTGAAAAAGCGACGGATCGTGTGACCAGACACTGATGGACCTTGACCTTGGAATTCATCTTGTATCTCTTTGGAAGTTGTCTTTGGTTTTTTTGTCCACCATTCTATCGTTCTGCTCAATCTGGGGTCGGTTTTCCTCTTGTGGCCATATCCAAAGAGGTTGGCTACAGTCCCATGGATCTTAAACTTGTTATAGCCTTAGTGCTTAACAAGCGTATCTATAATTTTCCTTATGATTTCCTCAGACAACTCTCTCCAATACTTTCTCTGGTCCGTGTTCTGTGTAGTACACACAAAGATACCAAACAGCAGAGTGACCACTTTTCTCCATTTAAACAGATTGAATGACTGATTACAAGATAGAAGATACGTGATGCTAATTAAAGAAAACAGTTTGAAAAATCACTATAATCCACTTATTTATAATCTTTTCTAGGGGTACCATCAAATTTGACCAGGCCATTTTAAAATTCTACTTTGTAGAATAAGCAATAATTTATTTGTTTTCACATTTTACTCGATGACATATCAAAGGCACAGGGGTATACCTGAGACAATTGCTTTTAATCTAATCACTTTTCAGAAGGCATAAAGCACTATTTTGAATGCGCTGTAAGGGCATCAGAAATTTGTCCATGTCTGTATTTATTTAGCAGTCACGTTTCTCCAAAGCAACATACAAGGGAAGCGAAGAGCACATCACAGACATAATGTGTGCCAGGAGGCTCAGCACGGAGGCAGGCAGGCAGGCAGGCAGGCAGGTGCTGTGATATGAAGCCCCCTGCTCAGTGATGCACAGCTGCCCAGCTCGTCCTACGCTCTGCTCAGGCTGCAAGGGGGCAGATCTGCTCCAGCTGCTCACATCTGTCATCACTCTCTGTCTGATTTTCACTAAGTACATCTTACTCCATAACAGGGCAAAGAAATATCACAGTCATTAACTGAAACCTAAAAAGTGGCCATTGCAACACCTTTTGTGCATGAATAGCATTTCCAAAGACTGTAAAATACCTTATTCGTTTCATAAGACGGAATGGAAAGACTAAAAACTAACAGCATTCACAAAGAAGTACATCCCCTCAGAGTTAAAGTCACTGGAATATTCACAATATGTTCTAATTAATTACTACTTTGCCGCTGGAATTTTGCTGTATATGTTTGCGATGATATTATATATGTTATTGCTTGAGTGACGTTACAATGAAATCATCCTTGTCATTTACACGATTAAGGTTAAGACCCTCACAAAACCCTGAAAAAACAAAGTTTAGCAAAACACGCAAAAGCTTGAAATAGACACTTAAAGTCAGTTTCATTACACTCATTACATACTTTTTAAATACTTTTTACAGCCAAATCATATACTTGACTTGTTTCTCTGCTGTTTAAATCAGCCTTTAACAGGTCCCATCGCGTGTGACTTACCAAGACAGTTTGCAAACCAAATATCTTCTCATTGGTGATTGAAGGTTTCTTTCATCCATAAAGCTTGTTTTCCAGAGGAGTGTTGTAATCTTTTCACAGTGATTGCTTCAGTAAAACCTCACCTCTTCCTCCCCAAGCTGGGCAATCATTAATTCTGACTCACCTTAGCAATGTGCTGTTCTTGCCTGCTGTATTGGGAGGGCGACGTGTCTGTTCTCGGGGCAGAAGGATGCACGAGACCTTGGCTCTGAACTGGGACAGCAGTCTGGACAACTGGCTGCGTCTAAACAGTCAAGAAAACTACACTTAAACACAGAAAGCACCTGACGTCCTTTTCTCCTTGTTTAACACCTACTGTTAATATCACTTTACAACTGAAAGGCTTTGTCCAACCATGATATCACTATAATAAAAATAATATTGGAATATAATTTAATAAGCATACTAATTAATATCTATATATATGACAATCAAAATAAATTATAATGATTAGGTTTACACACAGAGAAATAACCAAGATCAATTCCATGATGTATGCTACTGTTTCCTAACCCAGCCCTTGGGGCGATTCTGAGGACAATCTCAGCCCAACAAACAAAGTCTGCATTGTGTTTGGGCAGCAGTGGACACCACCCTCAGGTACGGCCACGGTACCTTGAGGTTTACACTGGCGCTGGGTAGCTGGATGGTGGTGGCGCTGGCAGGGAGAGAGACGGGCACTAGGATTTGGGTTGTGCCAGGCTGGGTGGGGATCAGGGCCTGGGGCTGCCCGAGGACCTGGGACACGTGCGGGTGGATGAAAAAGGGGGGCAGTGCGACCGGGGGGATGGGGGCTGGAGGAGAGGGTGTGACAGGCTCCTCCTGCTTGACCGTAAGCGAGGCTGGCTGGACGAGGGGGGCCCAGACGGTCGTGCAATTCGGGGGGATGCAGCTCTCCTCCTTCACAACGGCAGCAGGGGCTGGTTCCGCGGCCTGGCAGACCTGCTGGCCCCTCTTCTCCACCTCCAGCTGCATCTTCAGCTCCTCCACCAGCCGCTGCTCCTGTACTAACTTGCGCATCAGCTCCTCGATCTGTCGCTCCTTCTCGTGGAGGCGCCGGTCCTTCTCCTCAGGGCCCACTTTGTGTGGTGATTTCGAGACTTCTGATGCCAGCACCTCCTCCAGGCTGGCGCTGGAGAGCTCCGAGAGCAAGGGCGAAGAGGGGGGAGTAGCGTTCATGCACTCTGTCGCCCCCTGCTGGATAGATGACAGGTGCTGACTGGACAACGAGGTGGTCACCTCCATAGAGGCAGGGGGCACACCGCTGCTGGTGGAGGTGGTCTGTGGGCCGGCGCCGCTGGAGCTCTCCTGGTAAGGCCGAAGCCGCTCTATGAGGTCTGTCTTCGTCCCTGACACGGGCAGGCCTCTCAATTTCAGCTCCATCTTTAGCTCGGCCACCTGCAGAAACATTTTACCAGCCGTAACAAACAGATTTCATCTCCTAGCTTCCAGACATCACTGTTCACCGCTTAAATGGTGCATTACTCATACATCAGCGTCAGTGGAATCCCTGCATCCATCAAATCTCTCACCTTCATCTCCTCCAGGTTTGGCGGCAGTGGGCCAGGCTTGCGATTGGTCAGGGTGTTGCTAGGCCTTATGGGGGCAGCGGTGGGCAAGGACACCATGATTGAGTTGGGCAGAGCATTGTTGCTGTTGAGGGCCATGCTGGCAGTAGCTACGTGCCCGTCAGCCAGTGGCCTACAGGGGAAGGAAGAGGGGGAGAGAGGAAGAGTCTGGCTAGACTTCCTGCTGTAGCTCTGCTCGGGAAATAGCGGAACAATAAGACATGGAAACGGCGGCGAGTCACACAGTATTCCCATCAAAATAGAAATGCTGGTATGAAGGAGACCTGCATCCCCCCCCCCCCCCCCGGCTGATTTTAATGCCACTGAATGCAGCTAATCTGCCTTTTTCTTTGATTTTGGCTTGGATTATAATTCATACTCATTTTAAATCATCCACAAGTATTCCACAGTAAGTTACTAAAAAATACTGAAACTCAGTGAATGGAAATGAAATAAACACTGTTCTCCATAAGCAGAAATATGGAAATTGCATTTTATTGGCCAGCAAGGGTAATATAAGCCCAGCTTATTCATCCAAAGGTGCAGTACAACTACTGTTTATGTTGTAAATCATTACTGCTACTTCAAATATTCTGTCAATCAACAATTACTCTATAAATGTAACTGTTTAGATGTAGGAGAGATAAAAGATCTTGATCAGTATCTCTCACGCTGTCTGAAGCGTGACTCCAACCATTTCTGCAAAACCCACAGACACTGGAAAAAAAACCCTCTTAGCGGCTTCTGGCCCAAGTTCACCCGCTTGTGCTTCCTGATTGGTCACTCGCTTGTGCTTCCTGATTGGTCACTCGGATCTCTGTCAAAAAGCACTCGTTTTTTTTTTTTTTTCTGCCTGCAGTTGCCTGCATTTTCCTGTTAGTGACCAGTGACTTCCATGTGCCTGTGGTTGCAGGATCTGCTATCCGGTGGACCACATTCTCCCGGATCAGCAAGGCAGGGCTAGGGGCGTGGCCTACTTCAGAGGGTGGGTATGATGGTCTGGTAGGGTTAGGGTTAAGGTGCCTGGGGAGTGTAAGGCCGGGCTCATGGTGGGTCAAGAAACCTGCTATCTGACAGACCACGTTCTCCCAAATCTGTGAGGCGGGGCTGGGGGCGTGGCCTACTTGAGGGGGGCGGGTAGGATGGTCTGGTAGTTGTAGTGCTGCTGCTGCTGCTGGCTCAGAATCTGCAACTGCAGGAAGAGCTGCTGCTGCTGTAGGAGTCGGGCGTATGAGGAGTCCATGGGGGCCTCACTGGGCTCCACCTTCTGGTCGGGGGGGATGTATTGGTGATACTTCAGTTTCTTCACCCGGGGTCTGGCCTCCTTGCCCTTCTTGCTGCGACTCTTGTCATTCGCTTGTTTGGGCTGGCTTTGCTACAGTGAGGGAAGGAGAACAGGAGGAAGAAGAAGAGGAGGGCTTCATAGAGGGAAGTAAAAGTAAGCCTCCCCATCAGGTTATCAAAAGGCCGGGAACAGGAGCCTCAGGATGGGTGGGGGGGGGGACGCTTGTTTCTAGGAGGAGAAATTTTACCTGAAATATCTCCATACAAATATCAAGAATAAGAAGCAGAACAATAACTGTGTGAGTGTATTACTATTGGCTACGATTAAAAAGCAAGTGAACTAGAGATGGTTAATCCAAATGGAAATGATGGCAGTTTAAACGAAAGCCCTCACTGTCTCTCACTGAAACATCAGCTTTTGTCTGGAAAGACAGGATAAGGAAGTCATGTAGGAACAGGAACATAATTTAATATGGGATGTGACTTTGTTACAGGATACGCCACATAAATAACCCTAAATAACAGCAGCCATCAAATGTCAAACTAAGATAATGACCTTGTCAGACTGAACAGGAATGCTCAGAAGAGAACAGACACACCGCTTTGAGCACCTGCCCTTCTCTGTTATTCTCAAAATCAGGATTTTACTTGTAACCTTTGAGCTACACTCAAAACATAAATTCTGTGACCCTAGCCACAGACAATACATACTGATTACAATACAACTTAGAAGCCTACTACTTGGCCGTTAATGTAGTAGGTACAGTATGCATTCGGACACACCACGGTAGCCATCTTGCATCTTTCCTGACCTCGGTGTTTTCCAATGATGTAGCTTGACCCCCGTGGAAGTTAAAAACTGATAAAAAAGTATCAATGAAACCAGTCAAATTAAGCAATTGGGTATTGTTATCTACTTTAATTTGTACAGAGGCAGTACTTCCTCCACCATCTTGACTTGACTATCTGAGTAAGCGACGTTATTCGTCTCTGGTTGCAGTTCTGGTGGCCTTGTGTGGCCTGATACAACAAACAAAATATTAACACCAAATAGCGTAGCATCCATCACTTGCACACTTAGGAATTTCATAGAACGTAGTATGTCATCCAGGTACCATTCACCTGCTGTCTCATCCATACTGAGCATACTGATCACCTTGCATACTATATTTCGACTCCTATGTAGTGAACAAGTATGTGATTTTGGATGAACCTCCTGGCAGACAAGTTCAAGCTGAATGATAAAAAAACCTGCTCTTGATTTGGCTACATACTAACTGGGAAGATCCACTGAACAGAGAATTGAGAATGATGTTAAACGAGCAGCACATTCATCTGTCAAACTGGAAGGCTTCCCCATGTTTAAACCACACACCAGGCCCTGCATCAGAACATGTTGCGTCATTGGTTTACCTTGACTAGGGTGGGCCCGGCCTTTGATCCGGAGGCTACGACTTGACTACTGATCACCACCCGATTGGCTGGCTGCTCGCTGATGGATACGAGCTTGGGCATGTCAACCATAACCTGGGAGGCAGCTCGATAGGTCTGGGTCAGAGAGGAGAGATGAATATAAACAATATGGCCCAAGACGTTGACAATTTATGTTCGGTTGTGTAAGAAAGAAAGAGGAACTCTACCAGGAGACAAAAATACAATTCAGACAACATCTAAACACCTACAACAGTCTCATACTCACTTCAATCAAACCCACACTTTGCCCAGATTCTACATAACCAAGAACTGTGTGCTATTATTGTCACTTCACTAATAATGAGACACTAATACTGGAATTAGCATCTGTTATATGATGCTGATGTGAAACAGAATTACCATTTTTGCTCACAGGACCAGATGGACTGTACAGAAGAGACTAAATGACCTGCTGTCTTCCTAAAAGGGGCTCGTAATCCATGCCGGATAAGTATGGAGGCCCCGAGAGGCGATGTTACCTGTGCCTGCAGGCTGGAGCTGGGCAGCAGGAGCACAGCCTCGCTGGGCTTGGCCTCGGGCTCCCCAGGGGAAGCTGCAGATCCCTGGGACTCCTGGCTGGCCGGCTGCTCTGGGGACAGGGCGTCACTGCTGTCTTCCTCAAAGGGGCATGAGTCCAGCGTCTTCGGGTAGTTCACCTGGCCCACTTTGGGGCCGGCACATGGGACAAAAAGGGGCATGGCTTGTCAGAACAAGGTCAGGTGTTTAATGTTGAAAAATATTGTCACGGAAATTATACCAAGGAACTAAGATTCACCCCAACGCCATTTTCACCACTACAAAAAGCTCAGGGAAGTCCCCCCCACATCATATACAACAAACTCCTTTATAATATTAACACCAAAATAATTATTTTAATTCTTTATAAACATATACAGGTAACTACAAAATGATTGAAGCACCAGCGTAGACAAGCAGGTTCCTGAATTCATAGAGCAGCTTCAGAGAGCCGTCCTGCTAGATCGTGCTTGAGCTCGGAGCTCTGTGAAGATAAACTGAACTGTTTAGCCTGATTGGTCGACCGTAATGTTTCAGCCGCCACAGGTGCTGCGCCAGAGTCTCTACTAAGTGTTCGACTGGGTGGAGATGTGGTGACGGAGGCATGGCGTGTGGTATTTCATGCTCAAAAAACGTTCAGTAGCTACTCCAGAACTTTGGGAGAGGGAATTCCTACCTCAGAGGATAGCGTGGGTAATATTATATCTGTAGAGTTTTTATTTGATCTTCTACCAGTTTCATTTACTTGCAGGTGACGTCTGGAATCAATGTTCTCTTAATTTTTAGTCATTTATTCTAAAAGTCATTTCCATAATGCTTTCGGGTTCTCACCAATGATGGCCTCCTTAACGCTGGAGTCCACAGGCAGGATGTTCTTCTCCACCAGCTCCATGGGCCCCGGCCGCTGTGCGATCTTCTCATTGAGGTCGTCGGCCAGTCGGGCCCTCTTCAGTTTCAGCTGGGTGGCCTGCAGCGAGGGTTCCGCCAGGGTCTCTGACGGCACCGTGAAGCCGCACAGGTTAGGCCCAGCACCACAGTCGAATGCAGCGCTCACCTGTCCCACTTCATGAAAAGCCTTCCCACTATCCAAACCATATATGTTAATATGATGTAATTTCTATCAGGGTTGCCAGCTCTCACTAATCTGCCGTGACACTCACGCTTCCTGACTCTCAGGCTCATGCAAGCAATCTTACAGCAAATCTATATTATTCCATAAACCTAAAATGAGCTACGTCAGAACTGTCGAAGGTTGTTTGCAAACCCTACAGACTAGTTACAAGGTAATAAAACATGTTACATACCTGTAAATGAGTGTGCAGACTTCTCTCAAATTGAAAATCTCATGTCAGCAAGCTGACCAAAGTTGGCAACCCTGTTTCTATATATAATTTGAAAATCTCAGGTCTGTTTGTTTCAGACACAAACATTTGGCGTAAAGTGGCATTAAAGTTTTTTTTATTATTGACCGACATGTGGAGGAGTCTTGCAACAAAACACCACTAGCCTGGGTTTCTCATTAGATTTTGATACAAGGTTTGCCAACGCTTGATGAGGCCCTGGACACCTGGGCCTCGAGTCAGATCCCACTCCACTGGGAGAGGAGGCGCAGGCTTCAGGTGTCAATCCTGACCTTCAAAGCTCGCCAAGCAGATGAGCTTGTGAAGTTCCGGCCATGCGGCAGGGCTTACCTTGTAGGATGTGCATGCGGACCAGCTCAGAGCGCTCAGGGCGGCTTCGGATCTTGTGTTTAAGGAAGTTCTCGGTCTGCAAAATGGAGGCCATTTTGTCTTATTTTTTTTAATAGACGCTGAAACATGCATTTTTAATCAATACTGGAAATTCTCATCTTAAAGAGATGTGATGTGATTAAAGAGTTCTGATCTGGTTCCACTGGGCAGGGGCGTCACACCACCCTTTATCGCGGACTTGCCAGGGTGAAGGGCTAGACTCGGGGAGTGGTCCGGTAGAGACGCAGCAGCATGCAACTTACCCTGGCTCGCTCCAGGCTGCGGATCTGCTCATGAAAGGCAGCGGGACTCTTCAGAGCTGCGGGGGGGGGGCATGGAAGGTCACGGCTGAGCACCGGTCACTTCGAACACACTCACATCTTTCATTAGCTTACAAGCCATGAATTTCTAGTAGTTTCATCCATGGCAGGAGGAGGGAGGGTATTGAGACTATTTCATGCACAATTAAGTCCTGCTTCACTAAGAAGGAAGCAGATCATGGGACTCGGCTAAGCATGAACTGATGTTTGACAGTTTCAAGCCACATTTTAAACATGGGGGGAGCAGTGTGGCTCAACAGGTTAGGCCTCTGTGTCTGTGATCTGTGGTCGCCTGTATGAATCCTCTGCTTGGCAGAGCAGTCACATTCTCACCGGACCCGTGAGCAAGGGCCTCAACTGCCTGAAAAAAGCCCCAGCAGTGCTGGAAAGACAGCCGCTCCTGTGCTCAGACCCCAAACTCTCACCTCTACATGCATGTGTATGGAGAGCAGTATGGAATATGGGAATATGTGAAAAAACATTACAGTGTACCTGTACTTATACAAATTTGTCTGTAAAATCATGATGACAAGGAAAACTGGTTTCATTAGATCAGTCCTTTATGGTTACTTTTATAACTTCCATAGACATTTTAGGGGAATGACCATGTTAATCAGTTATACAGTGGTATCTCAGAACTCGAACTTAATCCATTCAGAACTCCGGATTGAATCCTAAAAATGATCGAATTTTCCCCATAAGAAATAATGGAAAACCAATGCACGATGCTATCACAGCTAATGAGAGGTTGAGACTGAAGCGTTACCCTTTGTAAGACGTGCTGCGTGACTCATTTCCCTGCGCGTACGTTATCTTAGTTCGGCGTTCATGGTTCGACTTCTGAGATTCAGATCGAGTTCTAGGTAATTTTTTTTTCGAACTGGTTGGTTCGACTTTTAAGAAATTCGAGTTCTAATGAGTTCGAGAACTGAGGTACCACTGTTTTGGAACAGCAATGACAGCCCCCATGAAATCACTAAGAGAGAAATTGTGTATTATTACTGCTAGAAAACAAATAAAAATAGATCGCAATATTATCTGAAAAAGAGAACAATATTAGATGCCTTCATGCAAAACCTACAGTTTAATATATTATTTTAATAAATACTACTGTCATACTCATACAGGAAAGACAACTTCTTAGATAAAACAGGAATGTAATGGAAAATGGAAAATTATATGAGAATGTAGAGCAGCCCCAGATGTGAGGTATGGTATATCACTGAAGGTATGGTATATCACTGAAGGTATGGTATATCACTGAAGGTATGGTATATCACTGAAGGTATGGTAT